GGTAGTAGTTGAGGAAAAAGGCATGGTAGAGACCTGCAGTGGGTGTGGGGAGGTGGGGTGGTAGAACGAAGAACTGATAAATAACATTTTTGGCATTTGTGGAAAAAAGGAGGTGTGCAGTGCCCAGGGTCAGGGGACCAGGTTTGCCTGTTGGCTCATTCATCACCCTCCTTCCCACCCTCACCCTCACTGTGTCTCCCTCCCCTCAGTCTTTCAGCAAACACTTCCTCTGGTTAGACTCTATGCTGTGGGTGGAGTCACCCTCTGGTGGAGGAGATGGGCATTTGCATGACCTGATCTGGACTGAAGTGCTTGTGTTCAGGTGTGGTGGGCCCCACTCTCTCTCCTGGACCATAGTTGTAAGGAGCCTTCTGCTGGTCTGGTCTAGATGCCCTCTAGTCCATCTTTCATGCTGGCTACTACAGCGATCTTCCTGAAATGCCCATGTCACTTTCCTGTTCAGAACCCTTCAATGACTCCATCTCCGTTTCTGCTCAAAAGGTGGCAGGATCAGGCCCAGAACAGATGCCACAAAACATTCTAAAGAGCATCACACTCTGGTTCCAGCTGCTTCTTCAGAAGGGTCTCCAGCTTTCCCCCCACAGCCCCTGGGGCGTTTCCCAGGTGTTCCTAGCTCTGAGGTGTCTGTCTCCAGCTTCTTTTTTATACCTTGTATTAATGTCTGTTCACCCCTCAAGACTCACGCAGATGCCCCTCCCCTCCCCAGGATGAGTAGTCCTTTCTTCCTGGGCTCCCCTTGTTTGCTCCGCATTAGAGAATGTGTTTCATAATCGACATGCTTGTCTGTGCCACCAGAGAGTCCAGGGGGTCTGCATCGTCTCAATCCTCCTTGCACTTGGTGCAGCAGCTGACAGGCGGTGGGTGTCAGCCAACACTTGCCAGTGGGGTCAGCACAGTGCAGGGAATCAGATGGTGTTTGATTCTAACCTTGGCTCTACCATGGACCAGCCTGGTGGCCTTGGATAGGCAGGCCCCTTTCTGAGCCCAGTTTCCTTATCTATTAAATGGTGCCAGTGATGCTTCCTGTCTCAGTTTCCTAGGGCTACACCACAAAGTGGGTGGCTTATCAGGACAGAGATTTACTGTCTCCCAGTTCTGGAGGCTAGAAATCCAAACTGACAAGTTGCCTGGGCCATGCTCTCTCACCCGGCTTTCTTCCCTCAGTGTGTCTATGCCTCTTTTCTTTTATAAGGACACCACCACTCTGATTGGGTTAGGACCCTTCCTACTCCACTTTGACCTCTTGTTAACCAATAGCATCTTCAAAGACCCTGTTTTCAAATGAGGTCACATTCACAGGTACAGGGCTTCGGACTTCAATGTGTGGTTTTTGGTGAACACAGTTCAGTCTTCCCTCACGAATCACAGTACGAAGTACAAGTGGCTGGCCTACAGCAGCTGCTCTCTGCAAGTGCAGGATTCTCAGTCAGGGATAACTCTTTTTTTTTTTTTTTAATTTTTATTGTGATCTGGGTGAAAGTTTACAGAGCAAATTCATTTTCCACACAGCACTTCATACACATTTGTTTCCTGACATTGACTGCAATTCCCCAGTGTCACAGCTGTCTTCCCACTTCCTCCCTGCAGTTACCTCTTTCCCACGTCCTCCTTTCCTATGCACTCCTGCCCACCCCCACCCCCCCGTTTCCCAGTGCAAACACTGCCCTTCTGTTCTCCCATGATTGATCGCTCCAAGGAGTGCATCTACCTGATATAAATGTTCACCCCATACGCCTATTGTTTGGCGGAAAGCCACAGGAGTGAGTCAGTTCCAGACCGGAAGGGTAACTAGGGGCCATAGTCTCAGGGGTCTCACCAGGTTCTATCAGACCAGCAAACCTGGTCTTTTTTTATGGACCCCAACTCCTTTGCAGGGGGCTTTCTTCTGTGACCTGGTTCTCATCTACTTCATCAAAAAAAGCCACTTCTACCGCGGCAAGAAGTACGAGGAAGTCAGGTCAGTTACGCTTCCTTCCAGCAACCTGAGAGAAATTCTGGGGTGCTCCCTCTTTCAGTCTCTTCTCTTTGGGGTGTGAAGGCAGGGGGTAACCATGGGTAGCTTACAGGCCCTGAAAGGACTAGGGAGGGTGGAACGTTCTGAGAACATGCTCTATGGACGACAGCTGGGGCCCAGAATCGGCCTAAGACCAGACTCAGAAGACGCTATAGGCTGTGGGCTGGAGACCTGGTATATAGGCCCGGCCCTGCCACTCTGTCTTACCATGTGACTTTGGACAAGTTGCAGGCTTTTCTGGGCCTCAGTTTCTTGATTTATGTATAGTGGTTTCTAGCATTTATATGTTAGAATTCTCGGTAGGCTGGGGTTGAAAGTAATGGTAGGGGAAGGAGGAAGTGATTTTTTTTTTTTCCCCCCCCACTGCAGGGCCTATTTCCAGGCCCTCTCTAGCTGTGGGTCTGGCCTTAGGTGTAGTGGTGAGGGGGGTGGGAGGTGGAGGTGGTGGTGGTGTGGGGGGGTGGTGATGTGTGTACTCAGAGCAGCAGAGCATAGTGTGTGAGGGAAACCCAGGTGCCTGTGGGCAGGACTCTGGCCTGAGCCTCTGGGGAAGGCTTTCTGGAGGAGCTGGGATCTGAACAGGGAACTGCAGGTGGTGAGCGTCGGACCCACACCTAGGGGCTCTCCCTCAGTCTCCCTCTCCCCACACCTCCCACCTGGGGTGGAGTGTGGAAGGTCAGCTGCATCAAAAAGGGCATCTCCACCCACAACCTGAACTGAGCCCTGATCTATCACTTCCTGGCTGGAGAACGAGCCCCGCCCGGCGCACAGGCTTAGCTGCTGGATGTCTGAGAACGGCGCCCCCTGCAGGGCGAGTGGTTCTTCAGGACACACCTGGGGCGTGGCGCTGCGCACATGGCTTCTGGGCTGGATGAGGGTTAACAGTTCGCGTCCTGCCCAGGGGCCGAGAGGTCGGGGACCCGCTGGCCGAGTCTTCGCGGCGGGGCGGGGCCTGGGAGGCGGAGGATGCTGAGGGACCAGGCCCCGGGGGACCACAGGGCCTTGAGCAGAGCTCGCGAGAGGAGCCCGAGGGGCAGCGGTCTGGGCTGCCGGAGCGGCCCGGGGTGCAGGACGGAGGCGGCGGCCGGAAGGGGGACGGCTACGTGTGCCAGCAGCTCCTCGAGGGCTGCGCCCAGCCCGCCAGGTGAGGGGTGGCTGGGGCCGCGGGGCAGGAAAGCCCGAGAACTGGGTTCTGGCAGTCTGGGGACCGCGGGCAGGGCCCGGTGGGCTGTTCTGCTCCGGGATGACCTGGCCATGAGGCAGTGCGTCCGGGACCCAGGAAAGCCCATCTAAGCTAACAACAATGCTAACATCTACACAGCGCTTACTCTCTGCCGAGCACTGCTGTGAGCTTTCTGCTGCTAACTCATTTAAGCTTCTTAGCAACTTGATGAAGTGGATCTAATACGTATTACCTGTTTTACTAATGGGAAAACTGAGGCACAGAAAGGTTAAGTGACTGGCCCAAGTCATACAGGTCGTAAATAGGAGAGCTGGGATTTGAACCCAGGAAGGGTTTCTCTAGAGTCTAGTTATGGGTTAATATCTAATAATAATAACTGATAACTTGGCTACTGGTAGCATAGTGCCTAAGGCACTTGACTGCTAACCAGAGGCTGGCGGTTCAAACCCACCATCCACTCCTCGGAAGGAAGATGGGGCAATCTATTTCCGTAGTGATACTGCCTCAGAAACCCAAGGAGGGGTCGCTATGAGTTGGGTCCGACTCGACTGTACTTAACAACAACAGCTTGGCTACACTGCCTTATCAAACCCCCATTTTCCCCAACCCACAGTCATGTCCTCCCGAGTCCCTCATCTGTACAGAAATTCTGGAGGTGCCCAGCACAAGGAAGGTGGTGGCTGGGCTGACAGGTGACCATCAGACTGCCTTTTCCCGGGACAGTGCCCAGAAGCAGAGAGGAACCCAGCCTGGTGCCTGCAGGGAGCCCTGGCTGAGTCGGGAGGCCCACCTAGGCTGCCCTGCCTCTGTCTTGTGTCCCCTTGAGCAGGTGCCTGGCCCGGGCTGGGCATAGGGGCCCCTGTCTCTCAGACAGGCTAAGGCTCTGTGACTCTTCTCTGGTGACTCTCCAGGGAGTTTACTGGCCCTTGGGAGACCTTTTCTCTGGTCCCCAGCTTCCATTCCTTGACCTCCAGCCAGGAGTTGGGCTTGGGCAGGAAGGGAGTAAAAAAACAGACTGGGATGGAAAGGACAGGCAAAGGACAGAGACGGGTGAGGCAAGAAAGGAAGGGAAACCACTGCAGCCGGGCAGGGAGGCAATGGAGGCCGGGGGACCGGCTGGGGTGGGCCAGAGTCCCGCAGGCCCCCAAGTGGTGGTGCTCCCTGGGCTGCCTTGCTTCTCGGGCATTCGCTGAACTCTTACCCTGTGACGGGATAGAGTGGCCGCCTTGCTGGCATTGGAGGCTGGCCTAGTCTTGGCCCAGTATTGCCTGGTACTGTCTGTGCAAGGCCCCAGCTGCCATCACAGCGCTGACTGCTGTTCATTGCTGAGACGGCTCATCTACCTGAGTCCGGGCTGCAGCCGGGGATCCCGACAGACAGCCTCCCTCTCCAAATGCTCGCACGGCCTGTGGTGCTGCCAGCTAGAGGCTGCTGCCTATGTCTGCCTTTAGGGAAGCTGGCTTGGTCTGCAAGGCCCCCAACAGTCCTCTCTGCCCTCCTCCCCAGGTCTGGCCACCTGGGGAAAGGAAAGCTGAATGTGGAGCAGCTGCAGAACCTGCAGACAGTGGAGACGTAGCCAGAGGTGTTGGCTGAGAGCAGATTTGGTGAGGACATTGAGGGCGGAAGAGCCCACAGCTCTGAACTGGGAAGAGGTGTCTTCGTGCCTGCATGGGACGGGGCTTCTGGGCCGAGCATTCTCTCCTGCACCAAGTGAGAAACTCAGGATCTCGCTACAAGCTTTTTGTTGTGTGAGGAAGGGAGCTTCCCAGTGGCCACAGAGGCCTAGATCTGAAGAGTCAGTCCTGCCTAGAGAAGGAGGGCCGGCCAGGGTCTGGGTGGTTTTAATTTGTTCTGAGAACCTGGTTGGATATTCATTCATTCATTCTTACATGCAGTAAACACTTATTGATTCCTGCTGTGAGCTGGGCCCTGTCCAAGAAATGCTTAAATGAGATGCTGGCCTGGCCCTCAGGGAGGGGAAAAACACACGTGTAATTCCCTCCAAAGCCAACAGACACATCACAGCCAGGCCCAGTCACTCTCACCTTCCTCCAGCCTCTAACTAAGAATTTACAAATCCCTGTGGAGGATGAAAGGAGTTCTGGTGGCATAGTGCCTAAGTCATTTGACTGCTAACCAGAAGGTTGGCGGTTCAAATGCACCAGCCACTTCGCGGAAGGAATACTGGGCAGTCTCCATCTGTAAAGATTTACCGTCTCAGAAGCCCAGAGGGGGTTGCTATGAGTTGGAATCGATTCACTGGCAGTGAGTTCGTTTTTTTTGGCTTGGTGGAGAATGATGCTCCTCAGAGAAAGTCCTTGGGCAACATCCAAGGGGACATTTGGTCTTGCCCTCAGGGATAAAACTTAAATGTATCCAAGGAGGCAAGCAGGGAAGAAGTCTGGAGGCAGCTGGCTCTTATGGAGGGCGGTACACGCCAAGGCTTTGAGGTCAGATAGGGGAGGGGAGGGGAGGCAGAGAGGCCTCGGCTCCACTCGACCCGGCCCTCTGGGGGAGCCCTGGGCATACTGTCTTGCCCAGATGGGAGATGCATTTGCCTGTGTGGTTTGGCTCTTAACTGCTCTGTGGGGCTGGGTGTCCATGACCTGCTTCTCTCCCTTTCTCCTCAAAAGCTTGGTCTTTAGGGTTAAAGAAGGGCTAACGAGATAATGGACACATTTGTTAGGGAGGCCAAACTAGACAAAAAAATGGTGATTCCTTTCACCACCCCCCCAGCCCCCTTTCCCCCACTCCGTTCCTGCCCAACCCTCACCCTGCAGAACTCTGCTGCTTCCTACCAACAGTGACTGTAAAGCCTTGCTATTCAGTGCGGACCGTGGACCAGTAGGATCAGCATCACCTGGGCGCTTGCTAGGAATGCAGAATGTTAGGCCTGCCCCTACCAAACCAGTTAGTGTGGAGTTAACTCCAACTCACAGTGACCCATGTGTCAGAGTAGAACTGTGCTCCATGGAGTTTTTAATGGCTGATTTGTCAGAAGTGGCTCCCAGGCCTTTTTTCTGAGGCACTACTTGGTGGACTTGAACTCCCAACCTTTTGATTTGCAGCTGAGCCATGGACTCCTGTTGTTGTTATGTGCTGTCAAGTCGGACCCGACTCCTAGCCACCCCTCCTTGAGTTTCCAAGGCAGTATCACTACGGAAGTAGATTGCCCAGCCTTCCATCCGAGGAGTGGCTGGTGGGTTTGAACCGCCAGCCTTCTGGTTAGCAGTCAAGTGCCGTAGGTGCTATGCTACCAGAACTCCCACCTAGACCTACTTAATCAGAGCCTGCATTTTAGTAAGACTCCCAGGTGATTTGCATGCACATCAAAGTTTGAGAAGCCCTGATTCTGAGGAAAGAACAGATGCCCAAGGACTTTCTCTGAGGAGCAGTGGGTGGAGCCAATTTCTAGATCAGACTTACATACATGCTACCTTGAGCATTCCCCCTGCCCAGGAAAAATGGCATTAAGCTTAATTTACTTAAATTAAAATGTTTTGACTAGGTAGTATGAGTCAAAATTGAAAACATAAAAAGGATAGTGAAGTTTCCCTCCCACCCCTGTATCACAAGGCATCCTTACCTTGTGGAGAAATCACCTGGTTACCTGCTCACTTACTCAGGCAATGAACCGTTCCTGATGCCTGCATGTAAGACTAAGTCTGCTCTGTCAGAAACAGACCTGGTGAAATTTGCTTACATACTGGGCCTGGGAACGAGGCTAACTCATGTCTCTTTATCCCACTGTATCTGAGAAAGTGATAAACTTAGAACTCATCACTTGCTGACTGAACTGTTCAGCAGAAGTCCCAAGCTATCTGACTCAGCAAGGTCTAGGTGCTGTATCAGGGTAGTTCCCTGAACTAGGGAATGTTCTTTTGGGAAGGGCTTCTCCATGGGGCTTCCCATCGTCTGAAGTCTGGTCCTCCTCCGCACACAGAAATGGGTCCTCCGATGCTCTTTGGCAGACAAAGTCCCTGGAAAGGCTACCTGGAAAGGGCAGAAAGGCATTGTCCCTAGATTCCTGACCTCAGGTTGCCAGTAACCAGTTAAAAAAGCCAAACCTGTTCTCTGGGTAGTTAGTGAAAAGTCGGCATGATCCACGTGGTTTATCTTCCTCATGAAAACCAACTCTGGTTTTTGTAATCTAGCATGTTACTTTTACGTGTAGAAGGAAGTGAAAATGGACAGGAGTCATTTCTGAGTCCTGGCTGCTTAGGAGTTGGTCTGGCTTCTTTTAACCTGTCTTTGGAATTGCGTGGTAGTAGCCATATTATCTGGAAGCAGCCACATAATCAGAGGGCAGTCACACTGTTTTGTATCGGAATGGAAATGTTTTTCTACAGTTATTTGTTCAGTCATTCAGTAAATATTTATTGAGTACTTAACGATGTGTCAGGTGTTGGACTTAATGCTGGTGATACAGGGTGAGCAACACAGACACAGCCTGTCCTGTCTTGTGGGGAGTTGAACTTCAATCAGATATCATACATTATCACAAACTGAATAGGGTACTTTGAGAGTTTTGAACAAGGAGTTGGAGTGAGCCAGAGAAGGCTTCCCCAAGGAAGTGGCATATAAGGTGAAATCTGAAAGATCTGTAGCAGCTTGACTAGGTGATGGGGGAAGCACTCCAGGTAAGGTAACCACACGTGTGAAGAAATACCCTGACATGAGAAGGAGCAGCCAAGGAACTAGATGGAAGCTCATGTGACTGGAGCTCAGAGGGTGGGTGGGAGGAAGGGATAGTAGAGAGAATTGCCTAGGTTACAGAGATGCTGCCTCCCTCTTCCCCTACTGCTTCATGCTACCGTTATCCATACTGCTTTTGTGAGGCTTTCTTTTAATCAAGTTGACTTGCTTTAATTTTAAGGGTCATGCCATTAAACATTACTGTCATAGAGGATTTATCCAACCTAATTATTTCTTCAGGTCTAGCAAAGCCTTCCCAACAGCACATCAGGGACCTGTGATCAGAAAGGCCGTCGATGCCCTTACAACTCTGGCTGGTGTTGCATAGTGCCAAGGTTGCCTTGCTTTATGCGCTGACCAAGCCCTTCCCATTTTTTGCATGATCTTGGTACATGAGTGGGAGGATCATTAATCCTGTAGAAACTGGCTTTTAAATGGGGAGAAGTGAAGTTCCTTTAAAACTTGGGAAAGCCCCTTTCCCTCTGGGCATTGGTTACCTCATCAGGAACATGAGCTTGCAGGCTTCTCAACAGCTCTATTCCATTCTGATACTTGGGAATCACATGAATTGTCTATGCCTGTGTTCAGGCCCTAGCCTAAATGCCCCCACCTACTATTTTCCTAACGATTGGTTTATCCCATGTCACGGGAGTACTATTATGCTGGTCAACGGGATATTTTTAAATTGGGTGCTATAAATATACTGTCCCAGGGACCAGCTATGAAGTTTAAGTGCCCTCTACTCCTGAGCAGGGGTCATCAGGACTGATCAGTCACAGCTGCCTTTTTATGTGTCCTCCTCCAATCAGTTCTGTTTCTTAGTGGCTGGCTACTGCCCCACTGGGAAACTGTGATAACCTTCAGGTGTCTGAGTGCCCCAGGTAAGGACTACAGTGTGCCAGAGTCTCTGAATCACTCTACTTGGAATGGCACCTTGCATATTTGGAAAGGGCTCCAGTTGGTTCAACGCTGCACATCTCCCCACCCTCCCCAGTGATGTAGCTTTCCTCAGCACATACAATCCCATGAACCTAAGGATGCTTTCTCTCCATCCATTGTCTCCAGGCCAGTACCCAGAACTAAGGGGGGGAAGATGACAAACATTTTTTGGGACCTGCCCAATATATGTATTTTCCTAGGCACTTTTAATTGGTTATAAAAAAAATAAAAGGTGTTAACTTTAAACGTGTCTTGATTTCTTGCCCTGCATGAATTTTCATGATCACCTGTGTTTCAGGGGAAAGTATAAGGAGAAAGTGAGACCGAAAGAGGCAGATACTAGAAACAATTGGTAAGCAAGATACTAAGTTCTTTGTCTTACAAAGAAATTCAAATCAAACATTTAATTTTACTCTTTAAATGAGCGAACATTGAAATGACAGGTAGGAAGGCACTGATAAAACTTGTACTTTTGTGTTCAGAGTGCAATCTGGAAACCATTTTGTATCAGGTTTTTGCCCTGACAGCTTACTATAAATTCCCACAAACAGTATAAAGACAGTCATCATGTTTCTTCATAATAGTTTATAATCTCAAATTTAATGCCCCAAAATAAGAGTTAGTAAATCAGCAGCTCACCTGACCTGTATCTTTCCCTCCCTCCTTTTTCTGAATCAGGAATGTACCCTCTATTCAGATAAGGCCCTGTGAAAGAATAGGGGGAGACTGGGGTGTGCAAACCATGAAATGTGAGGATCTTCAGTGGTAGCAGAGATGGGGTTCAGAGGTCATTAAGGTAGGCAAAGCTGTGTCCTGTATGCAAGCATGTGACCCAGAATCCAAAATAGAATTCAGAAGGCCTGGGTCCCAGATCTGTTTCCATTATTGGTCTTGGGCCATCTTGGATTCAAGCTCTCAGGTCCACTTCTGGTCTAACACAAAACTTTTTCAGAAATCCAAATCTAATCATGTCACTCTTAAATAAAGTTCCCCATTGCTCCTAGGATCAAGACCAAAGTCCCACATGGCTCTCCATGATCTATTCAGGTCTACCTCATGGCCTTCTCCTTTCACTCACCAGATACAGGCAAAACTCCTTCCTGCCCAATGGCCCTCACACACTCTCTTTCTGCTAATAACCCCTTTCCCACATTTTACTTTGCTGTTATTTAACCTTTGGTCTCAAGTAAATGTTACTCCCTCAAAGCAGCCTTCCTTAACATCCATTCTCCAACCTGGGCTTGGTTTGGGGATCCATGTACTCTGTTCATAGCACTTGCCATAATTTAAGTATTTGTGAAATTAGGTGATGGTAGTCTCCCCGGTTATATATTTCATGAGAAGCTTGTTACTGTAATTCTAATGTAATAATATTTATTCCTTGATCAAGCAAATGGGTTTTATTTTCAGATAGTCCTTCTGATAGGAAGTGATCATGGATTGGCATACACACAGAGGCATTTACACTCTAATAAAGCCCAAAGTTTAGCTTAAGTGTCCAGTCTCAGTTTAATCTTCACTAGAAATATTCTAGAAAAATAAGCTTGGACTTGTTATTTTTTTTAATGGAAAAGACAACTAGCTGTGACTAGATGAAGTGGGACTGAAATGACATCACTCATACCTGGAAGCAGTGGTGGCCAAAGGCACCAAAGCAATTAAGAGAACTGCACTGGAATCCTGGCTCTGCCTCTTCCTATCTGTGCCTTCTTGGTCACAGGTACTTAACCTCTCTGAACCTCAGGTTCTACAAAGACTAACAGTAACATCAACCCCATAAGGTTATTTAGAGAATTAAATGAGACAATGGGTGTAAAGTTCAAGGCACAATGCCTGGCCTATAGGGATAATTGTTATTAGGTCTTAAGATGTTAACAGTTAGTCTGTTCCTTACTATGTGCCCTCTCTGGATGGTCTCCGTGCAAATGCAAGGAAATTACAGAAGGTTAAGGCCCAGTCCCAGCCGTCCAGGAGTCAAAATTTGGCATCCATGACAGACAGGGAGTGTACATTAAGGTAGGAAAACACTCCACAAAGGGTCTCACGCGTCATTTAATCTGAAGAATATTACAGGCTCTTCTTCTTCAGATATAAATTATTTATAACGTTACAGAACAAGCAGCGAATTCAACAATTTAAAAACTAAGTAAGTCTACACGGTGTTAAATTTCTGGCAACAGTCCTCCAATCCGTTTTTTAAAAAAGTCAACCCTGCCCCCATTTCAGTAGACGTGCACCATGCCATAGAGGAATGTCCAGAACAGGACGTAGGTGAAGAGGCCTCCGATGAGGCCTCCTGTGAAGAGAGGTCTTCGTGACTTAAAATATTTGTTCCACCTTCTTCCCGCTTTAAGAATTAGGAGCAAGGAGAGCAGGATGGAGGCAAGCAGGTAGAAGATGAAGCCGTAGAGGCCGGTGAGGCCAAGGATGCCGGCTGTGGCCCCCGACAGCGCTGACACTGAGGTCCGGCAGTAATCAAGGACCGCGGCGTTGCCCCGCACAGCTGCCTCACTAATGAACGGCGGCCCTTCCCGCTTGGCCACCACTGCGGCCATCGCATCCGACGGTGTTTAGCCTCTGCTTTCTCGCAGAACAACGCGGAGCTGCAGAGAAAACCAAGTTACAAGTGGTGCCCAGAGCTTGGCGAGTTGGGTTCACGCCGCCCCTTTCCCCTGGGGCTTCCGAAACCTTGCACCACTCCTGAGTCTCGGAACTTCAAATATTCTGAGGCTCAAACCAGCCAGGGAGGGGATGGCACCTTTGCCTTTCCCACCCAGGATCGCCCAGTTACCTGGATCACGTCGGCGCACACAAATCACTTGCCGTTTCCTCACACAGGTAGAGGTGCACATCCCCACGACGCCATCTTGCGCTGGAGGCTGCTGGGAGGGTGCAGGTTGCGCATGCGCCAAGTCCTCGTCCGGCCCACTGGCGCCTGCGCTGTGGGCGACCTGAGCATTCTTCATTCCCCCGCCCTCCTTTTCTACGCAAGCACAATGCCTTCCGAAAGCGGAACAGCGCTCCTGACGGCGATTGGTTAGAGTATCGTTAACTATTCATGAGGGGGCGGGACGACCCGGCCTGGCTTTGTTAATCAGAGAGGGCGCGGCCGCGCTGATTTTCGCCGAGGGCTTCACCGAACGGTGCTTGGTTAGCAGGATTGGAGTCGAGATGTCCTACATCCCGGGCCAGCCGGTCACCGCCGTAGTGGTGAGTGCGCTCGCGTGGGCTCCTTCTCGTCTTGACTTGCCCCCATTTCGCAAAGCAGTAAACTGACACCCTAAATAGGTTGATAAAATGTCGGATCCAGGGCTTCTGTAAAATGGGTGGCCTGGGCTTCGGCCCCTTTTTCCTGGACCTCCCCAGCCATAAAACAGAGATGGCCTGACACCCAAGCGCCTCCTGAAAACCTTGCCCGAGGTCAGACCCCGTGCACTGCTGCCTGGGGTTGGACTCCTTTCAGCAGCCAAGACGCGAGGACGAAAGAGAAAGGTCCAGGCTGTTGGAGCCTGAGAAAACGCCGCCCTCCCCGGGCCTCAGTGTCCCCAGCTGAGCAACCGCGGGGGGCGGGCGCCGGCCCCTGAGTTCATGAGTCGTAGCCTCTGGAATGAGGAAGTGCTTCCTCTGCTCCAGCCACCGCCGCCCAGCGGAGGAAGATTTGGGGAGTAGGGCTGGTCAGGTCGGGCAAAGCAGCCCCTTCCTCTCTCTGGACCAGCTTTGCCTAGACGGACCCACCCACCATTCTCCCAGGGTTAAAGCGTATACAACCTGCTCTACCCTGCTACGAACCTTTCCAGTATCCCCTCCTGGCCTGGCACTTGTCAGCCCAGGACCCTGGCCGCCCTTGTGGCTTGTCTTGGGCACCAGGTTGTATTAGAATAGGCAAAGGGAAGGAGAGAGCCTAGGACATCAGTGCCACAGCTGGATGGGGCCACAGTTGGATGGCAGAGGAGGAGGAACCGGCCCGAGAGAGAAATCCGCTCATGCGCAGTTATAAAGCAAGTGGTCATTAGGAAGGACACAGCTCTTTTGTCTGACCCCCGTATAAGTTCTAGAAAGTAGGGAGAAGTGCCTGCCCGCCAGGCTGGACAGCTGGAAGCGAGCCTTGTGGCCAGAGACACTGATATCTCGTGGGTGTGTGCTGGAGAGCTCTGTGGTCAGGCGGGTGGTGGCAGGAAGCCACTGATAAAGGTGGAGTGGGAGGGGGAGCACTGAGCAGCAGCCCAGCTCTCAGGATGTAAGCCTGGACCTGATGACAGCCGTTAAGCTTCACCATGGCTGTACCACCCTCACTTTTCCAGATCCCTAGCCGTCCCAGAGAGAAGGTGCCAGTTTGCTCCTTAGCTGGAGAAAGGGGGTGCAGGTGAGCAGCCAGAGAGGGGGAGTAAGCTGCCTGACCTCACCTGGCAACTCAGTGTTAGGCCGGGTTCTCTAGAGAATCAGAACCAGTCGTCCATGGGTCACACGCCAAGCTGCAGGCTTCTCCTGGCTCACGTGGTTGTAGAGGCTGGCAAGTCCCAAGTCTGTGGGTCAAATGTCAAGCTGGAGGTTTCCGACACACGCAGCTACGGGGGCTGATGAACCCAAGCCTGCTGGATTCAAAGGCTGACAAATCCAAGACTGGCAGGTAATGTGGCAGCCCACTGGTTCAAGTCCAGATGATGAGAGCCAGATGCAGGATCCCGAGGGAGAAGTCAGAGAGTTTTCCCGTGTAGGCTGGAAGCAGGTCACACCCCAAAGGAAACTTCCTTTCGCCAGACTGCTCATAGCAGATCTTATCACGGAAGTGATTATATCAGATTTCACCTTGGGGGATGTTGAGCAGTCAGTTATCACAAGGACGCAGGTCCAGTGGGCGTCATGGGTCATGTTTCCTGCATTCCCCGCCCCCACACACACACATCATGGCTGGTCTTGGGGCCTTCCTCAAAGTTGTAGGATGACCACCCCCCATTTCTAACACTAGGAATGTGGCTTTGATGTGTGACCCTGTGAACACTCTCATACCATCTCTGGACCTTGTCTTCCTGACTCAACCTGGTGGGTGGGGTCTGGCCTCTCCCTCTTGTGTCTTGGATTCAGGGTGGGGTGGGGAAGCTTCCCCCATGTAAACATTTTGGGGATGTTAAAACCATCTGGCCTCTAAGCTCTGGGTCAGGGTTCCACCTGCCCTCTGGACACCTGCCTGGATTGTTCGTGCACTCGCACAGAATATACTCATCTTCTTTTCCCTAGAGCCCATTCCTTCTGGGCCCCATCTCAGTGGTGGTTGTGTGCAGCCAGGCCTGGCAGCGGGGTACTCCTTTTGACTCTTTTCTCCTCCATGAACAGTGCCCGTATCTGTTGATCTTATTCAGGCAGCTCAGGTCCCCTGGCCTCACCTGCCCCTGTTCGCTCCAGCCCCTACGGACTCCCTGGTTCTAGCCTCAAACTTAACCATGACCCACCCAACCCAGTGGGTTCAGGATCAAGTCAGGTGGCTGGCCAAATTGCTCATCACCTCTTAAGGCCTTGTGCAGTTTTTCCCTCCTTTGGGAAGTCCCTCAGGTCCAGATCAAGTTGCCTTTTGCTTTTTCTTCCTCCTGTTAAAACTTTCAGCTGTTGGGGTGGGATGGTCCTATTCACAGTACTTGGTGTCTGGGTGACGCCTGAGGGTCCTGAAAAGAGCCTGACACAAGGAGAGAACACAGCCCCAGAACCTGGTGGGATAGAACGCCAGGACACTGTGCTGTCTCCTGGGCCTCAGGGAGAATGACTCTATCCCCGACTGTGGCCAGCCTCACAGGCCTGCATTCCACAGTCTTCCTGATTGGACCCCAGCTTCAACCTCATCTCACCTCCCAGGTCCATGACCAGTGATGCACATGCCGGTCTCAGAAATGTATCCATGGCGTCTTCTAGTTCCTTTGGTCAGAGCAGTCCTGCATCTCCTTCTGTGTGTTTGACCTTCTCTGCCTTTCCCAGGCATCTGTCCTGCCCCTGGCAGGGCTGGCTTGAGAGTCTGAGCTGCCTCAGCATGGGGGCTTGTACCTCTGTAGGACTTGACACCTCCTGCCCTTCTGTGTCCCCACTGGCTCTTGGGCCTAGAAGGTTTTAGATCACATGTGGACTAAGGCAGGTTTCTGAGACCAATAAGGAAAGTGGAAGAGGTTGGAGACGGAAGGCTGTGTGGGTGGGTCATTTGCTTGAGTTCTAAGTTCCAACTGCCCAGGGTGCCAGGGCTGGTGACCAGCTGGATTCCTGGAGAAGACCCTGGGCCTGACTCTGAGCAGTCCCAGCAGCCCCCAGGCTGCTGCTGGGAACATAGACCAGATCCATTCTCCATACATCCACACCCCCCCCATAACTCATTTTCTTTTTTTTTTTAAATCTCTGCCAGCAAAGAGTTGAAATTCATAAGCTGCGTCAAGGTGAAAACTTAATCCTGGGCTTCAGCATTGGAGGTGGAATCGACCAGGATCCCTCCCAGAACCCCTTCTCAGAAGACAAGACAGACAAGGTGAGGGGGCAGAACTGGGACCTCTCCATGGGGCACAGAGGCCCAAGATAGGGTGCCTTTGCTCCTGGGTTGGGGTGGAAGGAGCAGACCTCATCTCTCCCCAACCTTTGTGAAAGTCCAAGAAATGATCTGGGGTGAAGGTGGGAAGCAGCCCTCTCCAGCCCTCCTTTTGCCTCCCACCGCTGGGCAGAGCCCAGGAGGAGGCCATCAGCAGGGGGTGGAACATCTATGGGGCAGCCAAACTTTCTCACCTGGCTGTCTTGGCACACCCTTCACTGGCCATGTGCTCCAGGGGAAGCTCGGTGCAGGGACAGACAGTTGGCTGAAGAGTATGTCATTCTAGGCTCTGCTCCATGAATAAGGGCCCAATCCAGAGACCACAGGCCTTGACCTGGGCTCTCTCTTTTCAGGGCATCTATGTTACACGAGTGTCTGAAGGAGGGCCTGCTGAGATTGCTGGGCTGCAGATTGGAGACAAAATCATGCAGGTAACAGGTCCAAAGGAGGAAAACCCCTTGGGCTAGAGGGTCTGATGCACCGGGGGGGTGGGGGGTTGCCCCTGCCTCCCAGTGCCCCAGGATACCAGGGAGAGACTCACCAAAGCTGTTTCGGAGCCATGCTGGTGATGCCCCAGAGGAAGCTGGCGCTCTCTCCTCTGCATGACTTCAGCTACAGTGCTTGTTTCTCTCAACTCAGAGACATCAGCTTGGGGACTTGGTTGGGTAACCCAGCCCCCGCCCCTGCCCCCGCCCAGCCTATCCTGCTTCCAGATCCCAGAGCACAGGGAGCTGAGGTAGGGTATGCTCTTCTTTCTGGGACAGGTGAACGGATGGGACATGACTATGGTCACCCACGACCAGGCCCGAAAACGGCTCACCAAGCGCTCCGAGGAGGTGGTGCGCCTGCTGGTGACACGGCAGTCGCTGCAGAAGGCCGTGCAGCAGTCGATGCTGTCCTAGCAGCCTGCCACGTCCCCACCTTACGCCTGCTGCCTCTCTGTACAGTGACCACTTTTTCCGTCTGCCCCTTGTCCTAGCTTCTGCTGAGTGCTGGGCCTCAGCTTAGAAGGGCAAGAGCTGTTCCCAAAGGCATTTCCTTGAGGCTGGCCTAGTCTCTTTCCCCTCTCCCACCCTGGAGGCTGGCCTAGTCTCTTTCCCCTCTCCCACCCTGGCCGGATGCTCTGAGACCAGCTCCCTCCCTTGGACACTGAGGACTGGAAACAAGGGTCTGGAGCTGAGTTGTAGTCAGTCTGCAATATCCCATGTTCAGCCCCCAGGCCCTGCTGCCCGGCCAGGGTTGTGCCCAGGCAAGTGGGGAAATAACTGCCAAAATGCCAGAAATCGACAGGCAGGGCCAGGCCTTTCCCCACCCTTTTGTCCTGCCTTGTGGCAGGCTTGGTCCTGCCCTTGCGTCTGAACTCCGCAGTGCCCATGCCCTTGCTTTTCCCTGCATTGCCCAGCAGGGAACTTCTTACACACACTACCAGAGGCACTGCAGAGTTTCACCCGTGGAAGCCAGGCATGCACTCAGTTCACCCCACTGAACCCCACACCTCCACGGGTGCGGGCCTCCCCACGGTTCACCTGCTTACAGGATCTAGGTGAGGTTCAAGGCTGACATATCAGGGCAGCTGTCAGGATTGCCAATTTTCTCTATGCCTGTGGGTTTAACTTTTGTATTTTTTTAATCACAACTTTGATACAAAGGATTTTTATCTTACTAGTTGGAGATGCCAACTCTACTTTTGAATTTAGCTCACTAATTCACATCTGGGGCAACCACCACTCCTAGCAAGTTAACAAGCCTTACTGTCGTGACTGTGGAAACTGGCAACGGGATGCCGCCCACCTCTGATAATAAACAACGCTGGGATTCACAAGGGGTCTTTGCTGGAGCATAGGTTAGGTGGGGCTGGGGCAAGAGTTCTGCTTTTAAGGGTGGCTGACTAGCCCCTCCAGCTTTGGGTGAAGGCCAGCTACTCTGCCTGCCTGGAAAGTCTGGTGGAACCTGAGGACCACCACACCCCCACCCCAATTCCATGGTGTTCCCAGGTCCCCATGATGTACTTGGTAGGGACCACCTGCGGGGAGGGGGGCCGGAAGGGGACCTGGGAACACCTTCATGGAACTGGGGTGAGGAGGAGCCTGGAGTGTGTGATCTCTGGGGTGCACTGTGGACCCCTAGGTGTCACCAACTTCCCTTGTGTCACTTAGCATCATCTGCTTGGGAGGGGCCCCAGGGACACCAGGGGATTCATGGGAAAAACACTTGCCCCAGCATAGCTAAGGGGGCTGTTAAGCCCACATATTTCTAGGGACTGAGACCTGGCTGGGTGGGGGGTGAACCAGGAGCATAGGTCCCTCTGCCTGTCCAGTGCTGGTAGCACTAGTAGCCACAGGACCCGTGTCACGCAGGCACACAGGTCTACCTAGCGCTGCCATATTTTTTAAGTCAAGATTTTGGAATTTCAGGCAATAGCTCCCATTTTAAAAGTGTACCCTACCCCCACCTGGAAGGACCCCACAATACCAAAGTGTAAAAAATTCCTGGATGGCCCAGATAAAACAGGTCTGTGGGCTTGGTCAGGCTGCATTTTCTGCTGTAGGGGGAAATGTGATTCTAAAACTGGGTATTTGTTACAACTGGCAAAAAGAAGACTGGAAATAAAAAATCTCCCTCAGTGAATGGATGCCTTTAAAGACTTCATCCCACCCGAACTCACACCTACAGCCTTAGCTGCTTGCCCTAGGTTATGGCAAAGACATGGTACCTGGGAGACCTACCTGGCCAGGCCAGAGCCAGCGGGCATCTTGTGTTCCTGGGGGGCTCCCTTGACAAAGGGCTGGGTCAGTGCACAGCCACCACGGGATCAGCAAGCTTTGCTACCTATGTGTTTCCTTCTAAAAAAGTTAGTAAGGCCATCTCATCAAGCCTCATGAACTTGATTCTGATGGTACACATCTTCTGCATCTAGCAAGTGCTCAGAGCAAGAAGAAAGGTAACAAGCCAAGCTTTAATGAAGGATACAGGCCCTTCACATTGACCTTGTAGTAAAAAACTTTGAGTGGATGGCAACTCAAGGCACATCCTGAGACCTCCCCTCCCCTCCCCTCCCCTCCCCTGCCACAGGAGACACACAGGCTTGGGTAGGAAGGAAGGGAGCCTGGGATCAGGGCTGGGCCCATGAGGATTGTATGAGGTGGTCTCAAGTCCTTATGTGAGGTCTGAATAGTCAACAAAATTGGTGCATCTCAAATGGGTCTGGTAAAGTGAGGGAAGGGCCTGCCTCTGCCCCCACCTTGGGCAAGCTTAACAGGCCTCTAAGGCACTGACTGGTTGTGTGTGTGTGTCCTACATTCCAGAGGAGGGGCTCCGATGGTCCCCGGACCTGACTCTGGGTAAGCGGACATAGGCAGAGAGGGCAGGAGAAAGTAAACCACTCACTTCCAAAACATCTAATAACTCAGAGTTAGTATCATAATATGACCCTGTGTGATAAAGACCGAGAAGGCTCTGGGCATGAGTCCAGGCCAGAAGCAATCTGGTGGGCACCTCGGGGCTGAGAAATACTGCGTCTTTACCAGGCCCCGGACTGGGCCACCTACTGCTGCAGTCATGGAACCTGTGTTATGTAGAAAGACTGTGTGTCAGGAATGTGGCCTTTAGAGGTAGGATCCCAAGGCCTAATCCCAAAGTTCTAGCCCTTCCACCACCAGCACCAGCACCTCAGGGTCCACCTGGCCGCTTGCTCTTGGGGAACACAGCATGGCAGCAAAGTGCCCTTGGCTCTCCTGGCTGCGAGGCCAGCCCTTCAGGCTGCTCTCAGAAACACTGGTTGTTTAGGGCAAGGCCCTTGGCTCCAAGGTCAGTGCCACATCCTGCCTGGGATGGCTGTCGGAACCTGTGTGTGCTGCCTGAAGCCTTAAAGAAAAGAGAGATGGTGGCATCAAGATGCAGGAGGAGATGCCTGGCCCCTAAGGCCCGGATGGGCTGGGGCCGCTGGGGAGGCTGGGCAGGGGCCGCCAGCGGTCTAGCTTTTGGTCTTGGAGCAGAGTCAGGTGTCTGTCCCAGGGAGAGGTTTCTTCCAGGCCCGGGAGGGTGCTAGACGAAGGCAGGCTGTTTGGTGCTTAAGGTGTGTGGCCCTGAGAAAGTGCTTTTCCAGGTTGGCTGCAAGCCAGCCCTGCACACTCCAGACTGCTTCTCTGGCCTTTGTTCTGGAGCCTTCCCCAACCGGGGCCCAGGGCCTGAGCTGTTTATGCAGGACGCCCGGGTGCTAGTTCAACTGGTCGTACCCTGGTTTCCTTCTGTACAAGCAGAAGTGCTGGACGAAGAAAACGATATCGAAGAAGATGGAGAAGATTCCGAGTCCAAACTTGGTTGGGTCCCCGAAGATTAGTGTCCACTGGTCTGGAAGAGCCAGAGGGGACAGAGTCTGGATACAGTCCCTAAAGCAGCTGGAGTGCAGTGGGGCTGCAGGGGATGGGGGAGTGTCCTCATCCGCCCAGGATACCACAACTCCACCCTCTGCAGCTGCCCCTTGGCCGAGTCTCGCCTTGGAGGCTGGGACCAGCTTGGATTGCGGGGCTGCAGGGCCTTGGTGAGGGGCTGGCTCTGGCCGGGGTCCCGTAAGACTGGCCCTGCCCTGCACCTCTAGGCCACAGTGTGGGTAGCCTGCAGCTGACTCACCATTGTTGTAGGACTGGAGGAACATCTGGAGGAGGCTGAAGCTGCCTCCGGTGAAGTCCAGGAGCACGTTGCCAATGCTCCAGCCCTCGGTGCTTTTGTAGTAAAAGTTCATGTAGGCCTGGGTAGGCAGACAGACAGACGGAGGGCAGTGAGAGGGCTGGGTGGCTGCCTCTTGTGACCACTGCTCTACACAACGGTGTCTCTGATTCCTCCCACTCACATACTTGAGCCTTGGCTCCAAGGAACACAGTGACCTTTGGGCCCTGATATTTGTTATCAAGGGAACAGTTTGGGCTGGGCCTAGAGTCTCATTTGCATACACAGCAAACCCTCATTCTATCCCTGCACCTCACAATAGGACAGGGTGTGTGTGTAGGGGGTACTGCTTCTTGAACTTCTCATAGCTCCCTATTCTGGGTCAAAGTCCTAGCTTGGTTTTCCGGCAACATAGATTTTGTTTCTCACCTTCATTCTCTCCACACTGGGCAGTCCAGCCTGGCCTTACTGTTGTGCTTAAGAACACGGGATGGGAATCCCAGTTCCTTCATCTAAGCTGTGTCACCTCAGGTGAGCGGTCTGACCTCTCCTCGCCTGAGTTTCCTCCTCTCTAGAGAGCAGTTGACTCGCACCTCAGCCCTGGCTGGGCTCTGGGTGAGTCCCCTTGGACATCCCCACTCTTACTGCTGCCTGAGCCCCACACCCTTCCCACAACCACCCTTCCCACAATCCCTGGGGATTCTCTTGACAGGTACTACCTCCCTTCCTATGACTGGAGAGGGAGATGTCGGCCCGTTTAGTGGACGTCTCCCAGCTGGCCACCAGTCAGGTCCCCTTCCTTGTCCTGAGATTCTCTCCTACCCTTTCTCATACTTGATGCCACCTCTCTTAATCCCAGACGATTCTAAATTTCCCCACCTGGGGCTCCTGCCTCCCAGTCACAAGCCTTTTTAGACTCAGGGACTGAGACCCACTTCCCTCAGTATTTGGCCCTATTCAGAAGCCTTCCTCCCTGGCCCCTGGGAGCTGGCCCTGCCCTCCTTGCCTCACCATTCCTAACGCTGCTCAGGCTGCCGCTGCCTGGAATGCTCCTCCTCTCCTGTCCACATAGTCAAGTCCTGCTCACCCTCAAGGGTCTGATTCATGACCTTTCATGACCTCTAAGAGACTGTCCTCGGCCCCCGCCACAACACTCTCCTTCCTTTGAGCTCAAGGAACACACAGTCCCCAGATTTGGGGAAGCTGAAAATAGGCCTTCTTCCTTGGAAATGGGGTGAGTTACACGAGGCCTTAGTTACAGGGCAGAGGTCTGCTGCTGCTGCTGCTAGCTGCCACTGAGTCGGCCCCTAATTCGTGGTGATCCCTGCACAGGGGAGCAAATGCTGCCCATGACCAGCTGCAGATCAGACCCTGTGAACCACAGGGTGGTCACTGGCTGGTTTTCAGAAGTGGATTGCCAGGCCTTTCTTCCTAGTCTACCTTAGGCTAGAGCTCCGCTGAAACCTGTTCAGCATCACAGCAACATTCAAGCCTCCTGACAGATGGGTCACCACTGGCATGTGGTGCATTAGCCAGGAATCAAACCTGGGTCTTCTGCATGAAGAGTGAGAATTCTACCGCTCAATCACCAACATCCTCAGAGGTCCACAGCTGGCAGCTATTTCAAACCTGACCCTGTCCTAGGCCACTGGTGTTTGTCTCATCTACTGATGTGGGCCAGGGGGGAAGCCGTGCTTGACTCTCAAGTCCCCGGATCGAAGCAAGGGTGTCTGAGTTCTCACGGGGACACTGAGGGCCACTGGATGCTAATGCTCCATAAGGAGGTCGCCAGATGGGGGCTGGAGGGAAACATCTGGGACCAGGGGTGAAGGCTTCAGTGGGGGGCTCCCTCCTCCCGTTTATCCTGCTGGTCCCACTGCTGTGTGCCAGGGGTGTCAATAATGACCATCTCTGTGCTCTGCACTGCTCCTGCTGGGCTTACTGGCTTCCACCACAGGTTTCCGTCCAACGCCTCCTCACCCCACATTTCCTCATCCAGCAGAAGCTGCCCCTGGCCTGTGGGGCCCTCTCACCCCACCAGGTGTGTGAAAATTAAGAAAGGCCCTGGAGTACCTGTGGAAAGTACTTGACCAACGTGACCGCAAGCTTGATGTAGGAGAAGCAGAAGAGAAACTGCAGCCAAGTGGTTGCCCCTACTGCGGCCACCACCATGGTGACAAGTGCAAAGAGGCAGGAGAGCACCAGGAACCCGATGGCAGGCCACGACACACGCTGAGCGCCTCGCTGAGGTGGAGAGAGAGAGAGTGGAAGTGGGGAGTGGGGTCAGGGGGCACAGAGAGCCACTGCAGTGCCTCAGGTGGGGAACTGCCAGGGCCAGGTCAGGTTTAGAAAGAGGGGTACGTGTGGGATGAAGAGGAAGGTGTGATGGCTGGATGCTGGCCTTGGAGCAGCTCACGTAAAGGAGGGCTGCTTAGGGGCTGTGGAGCGGAGATGCAGGGATGGGCAGATTGCAGAGATCATCAGGGTCAGCGTGAGTTAATGGCGACCTGCGACAAGGTACAAGGTCTCCAGCGGGCAGACGGAAGGGGGTCCCTAGCACCAATCACACCCTTTTTACCTTCCGGGGACTCCATTTCAGTGTATCCTGGAGATTTCCAACTCCCACCTGCAGTGTTCCCACTCTGCAGAACTGGGTGTCTGCTCTGGGCTTATTCTGAAACCCCCTATCCCCCACCCACTGGAAACCCTGCACCTCATCCCAGCCTAGTGTTGACCCTGATGGAGCCCAGTGGTCTCTGGAATCTGTCCTCACCCCTACCTTTCCCCTGCCATGGCCTCAAAATGGGCCCCTCACACTGGCTTCACAGCAAAGGGTAAGAAAACCTGTAAGTTCCATAACTGTAGGCCAACAGTCCCTGGCTGTGTGAGGGCAGCCCCTGAGGGAAATGGTGCAAAGGTAGGAAATGAGAGAACCTGTGCCCATCAGCCCTAAGTGCCCTTCCCCGGCTCACACACTGGATGGCCCTCCATCAACATGATGGCATCCAGACCTCCCAGCCTGGTACACAAACCCTTCTCAGGCTTAGTCCCCACTGGCACCCGGAACCCCAGCCTGTCCCAACTGCTCGTAGTTCCTCTCAGTGCCCTTCAGCCTTCACGCATCCTGTTCCCCTCACTGGGGGTGCACTGTCCTCCTCTCTCCTTCATCTCCAAGGGAACCTTAATCCACTGCCACTGACCTAATTCTGACTCAAGTGACCCTACAGGACAGAGTAGAACTGGCCCCATAAGGTTCCCAAGGCTGTAAATCTTTACAGAAGTCGACTGCCTCATTTTCCTCCAATGGAGCAGCTGGTGGGTTCAAATAGCTGACCTTTTGGTTAGCAGCCCTCAAGTGACCCTCATTTCCTCAGATGCTCTCCTCCCCTTCCCTGGCTGGTTTAGTGCTTCCCTGCCCTGTACACCTCTCGGCCTTTCTGTGTGTCTCTTACCCCAGACTAGGGGGCCTGAGGGCGTGGCTCACATGGTGTGCCTGTGTCCAGCACAGAGCCTGGCATATTACCTAGGCACCAGTAAGTAGATGCAAATGAATGAATGTATCTCCTGTCTTCTGTAAAATGGCAGACAGGGGTGGCAGGGGGGGATGGGAGTGGGAGTATTAGCTACAGGGCAAGTCACTAGGTCCCCTCCCTCACCTCGTACAAGAAACACTGCAGGATGATGATCAGGGTGAGGACAACGGCATGCAGGCTGAAGAAGACGTCGTTACTGGCCACAGGGTTCACTCCATTGGGGTATTTGAGGAGAAACTGCTCCTATTAAGGGGCGGTGAGAAGGTGGGTAGTGAGAGGCAGCCAGGCCACCATACAGCTGGGCCAGGCTGTGGGGGGCATGCAGGGCCATACCTTGATGGAGGGCACCCAGAGGAGGCCAATGTTGAACATGCTGTAGGCCACGAAGCCCATCAGGTTCAGGGCCACGAAGTCGAAGCTCAGACCAACGACACTGGGTGGGGGCAAAGCAAGGCAGGAGGTGAGGCCTGGGGCCATGGAAGGAGCAGGAGGGACAGGAGGGGACAGAGCTCCCAGCACATGGGGAAGGAGCAGAAGAAGGGCTTGGCTGTCTCCAAGGAGAGCCGGAAGCCCCCCTTCCTGCCCTCTTGAGAGCCGACTCTCCTCCTCTCCCTCCCTTCTGAGACTTATCATGCCTCCTCAACTCTTGGTCCTTCCAGACAGAAGTATGGCGGCCTTCTGCAGAAAGCGAGCATCTCCCTCCCCGGCTTCCAGCTCAGCAGCTCCTAGGAAGCCCGTGTGCTAGGGTGACTGCAGGGAGCTCGTGTCCTTGCTGCATGAAGACACAGACCCAGATGGGGAAGACGGGGTGGAGTGGGGGGGCGGGCACACCTTTTCACCACTGTGGCCAAAGCAGCTAATTTGTGCCCTTATCAAGCATCTCTGGTCTCAGGTGGGCCACACTTCTGTCAGGTGGCCTCGTTCGACAAGGATTTATTGAGAGCCCACTATGTTCCAGGTACTGCCAGCTTCTTAGGGCTGATGAGAAAGAAACCATTCCTGTCCTCTGAGTTAGTGGCAGAGAAGCAAAAATTGTCAATCACAAACAAAAGTAGCATGGCAACTTCACAAAGCACCAAGTTAGAGAAGTCCTCTAGGACGAGGGATGGGAGTTTGATCTCAGAAAATCTTCCCTGAAGAAGTGACCCCGGAGGCATGATCCTGCAGATGAGCAGCAGGTACCAGGGGTGTGGGGAAGAGTGTTCCAAACAGAGGAGAAAGCATGAAGGCGACTGGGGCAGAAAGAGCAACGTGGGAGAGGAGGCTGGAAAGGCAGGTAGGGAGGCCATGCTGGGTTTTATTTTCATCCTAAGAATAACAAGCAGACAAGAAGATCATATTTGATTTTTGAAAAGACCTCTCCAATTTCGGCAAGAACACTGTATGAAAAGGGGGCAAGAGAAGTGAGAGCCCGAATAGGATGTAAGGGCAGAAGTCCAGTGAGCCACAGTGGGGCTGGGATTTGGATGGCAAAGCTGGAGATGAGGTCGATTGGATTTGAGAGATTTAGGAAGGAAAACTAATTGGCTACGGGGATGCATGAGTTGTGGGGTGAGGTTGGAAGGCTCAGGGCCCTTGCTCAATTGGATGGACAGGGGGAAATGCTGGAAGAGGTCTGGTGGGGAGGGCCATGCATTTGGTTCTGGCTTCTGTTTGGGAAACACCCAAGGTTAAGTGTGGATTTGGCAGCCGCTCATCAAGCATTCACTCCATGGTGAGGCCTGGGCCCAGAGCAGACAGCACAGGCTTCAAGCCTGATCCTGTCCCCAGTTCTCCTCACATGTCTGCTATCTTCCATCATACTCCAGAGTTCCTGCCAAGAGTCTCTGACAGGCATAAGCAGGTCCAGAGTCAGAATAAACTGCCTAGAGTGGGCACTGGATCCAATGTCTTCTCCAAGTCTCAGCTCCTCAAGGTCTTGTTATCTGCAGGAAGGGTGGCTCACTCAGTGGGATCGGCTGACTCCAGCTGAGTGGGTATGGCAGGCCTGACGGGCCCAGGTGAGGATGGCAGGCCAGGCAGGACTCTCAGGAGGGCTGCACCAGGGCCTCACTCATTCCTGGGCCACAGGGAACAGGGGCAGAGGTGGGGGCTCTTGGAGGAAGGTCTGCCCTCTCCTCCGTAGCAACTAGGTTGGGGATCCCACTGCTGGACAACACGGCCTGAAGGACAGTGCTCAGGGGGTGGGACAGCACAGGCTGCTGGAAGCTTAGAGTTAAGTGCATTGAGTTCAGGTCTACAAGTACTCTCCCTGGGTGTCCCCAGGGCCATGTCAGGGAAGGGCACACATGGCTTTGGGGTCTTTGACCTATATATACACCCTTGTCCTAGCACTTGCTCACTGTGGGCCTATCAGCAGTCACTCTGGTTGCTCTGCTTCTTGTCTGAAAAACAGGACATTTCCTGCCTCCCAGAGCTGCTGTGTGAGGTCAGCAAAGTCATCCATGGGAGGAAGAGCTCAGAGCTGGGCATGAGCGGGTGCCAGGGAAGATTCCACGCCCTCCTTTCTAGGATCCTTCTTCCTGGGGTTCCACAAAGTGGCAGATGACGCTTAGACAGTCTTTGGAATGGACACAGATCTCTCACCCCATGGACAGGCTGAGCCCCAGGTTCCAGGAGCTCCAGACAGTGACTGGGCAATATGCCCACCTGCCTACTCTCTGGGGAACAGTTCTTAGACAACTGGGTCCTTTGTGACTGGCCTTCACTAGCATCCTTATATCTTGACCTTTATCCAAACTCACACCCCCTGACAGCTGCTCTGTTTCTCAGTATTGGGAACCACTTCCCATTAGACTCCTCATTACTCATCATTAAAGGGTAAAAAGCTACCCTTGGGTCTTTGGAGAAGTTGGTGCTTTTGGCAAAAGCCAGCCTGTCTCCTGCAGCCAGAGGCAAGTGCCTGGAACCTGACTGCTCTCCCCAGGTAAGCACCTCAGGGAAGTCCCTGCTTTCCCCTTTCCCTTCCTATGGTTTCCAGCAGCACAGAAGTGGCTGCTGGGAAAGGATCTTCATGGTGGGGCATAGGATGGGTAATCTTAGCAAGGAATCAAATGCCCAGCATTGGAAGTCCTATCACAGGCTCTCAGAGAGAGCTTTCACACCAGCACACCTTTCCAGAAAGGGCAGGAAGAGAGAAGAGCTGAGGACAAAAGGAAGAAGCCGAGCTGTTGTAATGCCTCAGTTCTATCTGCCCTGAGCAAGCAAACCGGCACACAAAGCCCGGCTGGTTACCTTTTCCGCCTCCAGTTCTTGAACACCTGAGGGTAGAAGGAGATGGACCAGGCCACAAAGTAGATCCAGCCAATCACCTGGTTTATGATGTTAACGACGTTGCTATGGATCACCAAGAAGCGTATCCTCGGGCTAGAGAGGAATTTGGAGACGAGGATAAGCTGAGGTTGGACTTCTGAAGGAAGTGTCCCCAGTACCTCATCCCCACCACTGCCTCCCTTCTCATCACATAAAGCCCAGATGGGCTGAGGCCCACCTACCCGGTCTGGTTGGAATGATTTCCATGCAGATAAACGGTAAGTTGTCCAACATTTCGAGATACCACTTGAAAAGAGGAATCTGTTGTTCCAGCAGGTACCACAACCTGTTGGGAAGACAGGATTTAAATGGATACTACTACTCACAGTTATGGAGGGCCCCAGTGAATGCCCAGTTCCAGGCTAATGAAGGGGCAGATTAGTCACATTCTCTGCCTTCAAGGAGCTTGCTAACTCATGGGAGATACTGCACCAACCCACCAACTCAAACCGCCCCCCCCCATACCTCTGTGTGTTAGACTTTCCGAGTACAACAATGGCCCTGCCCTCAGGCTCTCCCTGTCTGACTAGCCATGTGATCTCAGACAAGTTACTCAAGCTCTCTGATCTCAGTTTGCTATCTGTAAAATGGGGATAACACACGTATCTGAGTTTCAGCGTTGCTATGAATGAAATGGGAGTCCTGGGTAGTGCAGATGACTTGTTACCAAAAGGTTGGGGGTTTGAGTCCACCCAGAAGTGGGTGGACTTCCAAAAAATCAGCCATTGAAAACCCTATGGAGCAGAGCTACTCTGACACACATGGGGGCACCACGAGTTGGAATCAACTTGACAGCAACTGGTTTATTGGTTCATGAATGATAAAAGCCCATGAAGCTTATAGTGTACAATGCGGGGCATGCAATAAGGTTTTGAAGTGCCTACTATCACTGCTGTATCATCACTACTACTATCATCTCTATTTCCATTATTAGGCTCCATAACATCCATCCATATTGCTGGACACTAAGAGAAAGCCAGTCTCACAGTTCATCCTCAAAGGTTCCAAGGGGATGCTGTTCATCGGATTTCAGTGGCCTCTTTATGAGGACTACGGAAGCACTGTTTCTTGGTCTTAACATCAGAAATCAAGGGCTTTCCCAAAACAACTGCAGCGGTTTAAGTGGCTGCTGCAAAGCTTGGAGTGCAATTTTTGGTCCACATTTTGCAAGCTACATCTTTATGACACATACCACGCCCAGCTCCATTTTGTTCTCCCATCACTTTATTTTTTATTTTTAACTGATTTTTCTAGCAATGGTGTCTGCATACTTATAGGACCAGGACCAGTTGCCGCTGAATTGACAGTGACTCATGGCGACCCCATGGGTGTCAGGGTAGAAACGCTCCATAATGTTTTCATGGCTATGACTTTTTTTCTCTCTTTTTTTGTTTTTTAAATTTATTGTGATTTGGGTGGAAGTTTACAGAGCAAAATCATTTCCATACAGCAGATCACACACATTTTGCTCCATGACATTGACTGCAAGCCCCATAATGTGACAGCTCTCCTCCCACCCAGAGGTGTCCATGGCTATGACTTATGGCCACGCATCACCAGGTCTTTCTCCTGAGGTGTCTCTGGGTGGGTTCAAACTGCCAACCTTTTGGCTAGTGAGTCAAACACTTACTGTTTGTGCCACTCACTAAATTCCTTCTGGAAATAGGGAGAAAATCAATTAGTCAGAAACTGACTCTTTCTCCCACTCTCTTACCTATGGTAACCACAAATGAACTTTGGTCTCTATGTATCTGCCTATTCTAGATATTTCATAGAAGTGGGATCATATAACATTTGTCCTTTTGTGTCTGACGTATTTCACTCAGCATAATGTTTGCAAATTTCATTCACACTGAATGCTTTATTTTAAAGATCATAGATTCTCTTTTGACTGATCACACTTCAGTACTGTTTGCTTGCTAGAGAGCTCACAGCTGATTTGCAGCCCATCTCTACAAATATACAGGCCACCTGACGTGCCTCATGGATATCAACTCATCCCTGGATTCATCTTGATTTTTAAAATTTTTTTTTTTGTATTTTTAACCCTTGTATTATTCTCTGTAAGGTGTCTCTACATTGGTGCCTCCCCTATTTATGTTTTTATGCAGTTGAGTGGTCACTGGCTCCAATCCCTGATAATGTGGAAGTAAAAACCAGTTGCCATCAAGTTGATTCCAACTGTGTGCCAGAATAGAACTGTGGTCCGTGGGGTTTTCAATGACTGATTTTTTGGAAGCAGATTGCCAGGCCTTCTTTCTAAGGTGCCCCTCCAAACCAAAAACCAAACTCACTGCCATCAAGTCAATTCCGACTCATAGCAACCCCCACTGGGTTTCCAAGGCAGTTAATCTTTTTTTTTTTTTAAATTGTGATTTGGGTAAAAGTTTACAGAGCAAATTCACTTTCCATATAGCATCTCACATACACTTTGTCTCATGACATTGACTACTATTTACCACAATGCAACAGCTCCTCCCTCTTCCTCCCCATAGTTACCTCTTCCCTGTGTCCATCTCTCCATGTGCTCCTGCCCCCTGAGCTGTCTCCCTGTACATAAACAGCCCTGCCATTCTCCCATGATTGGTCTCTCCAAGGAGTGTCTCTACCTCAGGTACATGTTCAACTCATATGCCTGTCTTTGGTTTGGCTGGAGTGGGTTCAATTCCAGACCCGAAGGGCAGTTAGGGGCCATAGTTCCATCAGGCTCTCTCAGATCAGCAAACGTGGTCCTTTTTTTTTAAAAAATGATTTTGAGTTGTGTTCCACACTGTTCTCCCACTCTATTCAGGATCTCCTACACAGATCTCCCTCCAAGTGGTTGACAGTGGTAGCTGGGCAACATCTAGTTCTTCTGGTCTCATAGTTGTATAGGCTGAGGATCAGAAGGTATACCAGTCACTTGGACTAACTGTTTCCATGAATCTTTTGTTTTCTTCATTCTTCTTTGCTCTGGATGAAGACATACCCATCGTTGCATCTAGATGGCTGCTTGCAAGCTTTTAAGATTCCAGTCCCAAGGCGGTAAATCTTTATGGAAGTAGATTGCTCCATCTTCCTTTCGCAGAGCAGCTGATGGGTTTGAACTACCAACCTTCTGGTCAGCAGTCAAGTGCCTTAGGCACTGCACCACCAGAGCTCCTTAAGGTGCTTCTGGGTGGATTAAACCTCTAACCTTTTGCTTAGCAGCCAAGCATGTTAATTGTACCACCCAGGGACTCAAATATGGAAGTGGGGTACACATAAATAGACAAACGACTAAAAGCTATGACTAGTTATCATTATTACACTAGACAGCTTCTGACACTAGTTTTTGGAAATGACCCCAACCAATGGTGTCTCAGAACAGTGCTTCTCAAACTTTAATGTAGACCCACATCACCTGGGGATCTTGCTAATATGCAGATATTGAATTAGCAGGTCTTGGGTGTGCTGCTAGGAGCTCTGGTGGCACAATGGTTAAGCCATTTGGCTGCTAACCAAAAGATTGGCAGTTCGAACCCATGAGCTGCTTCATGGAAGAAAGATGAGGCAATCTGTTTCTGTAAAGATTTACAGCCTTAGAAACCCTATGGGTTAGTTTTACTCTGTCCTTTAGGGTCATTGCCAGTCAGAATCGACTCAACGGCAGTGGGTTTGTTTTTTTGGTTTGGACAGAGCCTGAGGTTCTGCATTTCCACATGGTTTTCAAGCAAAGGCAATGCTGCTGGCCCATGGAGCACCCTCGAATAGCAAAGTCTTAGAATATTAAGATTTCATCTTAAGAATTTTTTCCACGTTCTCTGAACCAATTTTGCCTCATATTTCCCTTACCATTGCTTTTATAAAACATCTATCTCCCAAGAGGCCAACAGGCCCAAATCATAGATTTCGAGAATGACAGAACAGGGGCAGTCCATAGTATGAAAATAAAGTAGCCTATTTCAAAAGTTCTCAATGAAAATGTATTTTCCTACCCCTCAGTCAACTTTGCTACTTACTTCATCAGGGAGCTCAAGGATGGTGATGTTTTTTGAACGAAATGTGATTTCAAAAGTGATCACCAAGGTTGCATTTAGTGGCTGCCTGTGGGGGGAGAAGAGTCTGATTACTTCTGTCAGGCAGTGGGATCTCAGCCAGCCTTCAGGATTTCAGTCTGGGCCTGTCAAGTCATTAGGGTCAGAACTGCTATGTGCTTCACCCTGAGGGGTAGAGAGGTGGAGTCCCTGTCCTTTGGGGGATTTCTACCAATATCAGGAGATAAAATGTCACAGGGGGTAGGGTGGTAACTTGAGAAGATGGGGAACTGGCTGTGAACGCCAAGTGAGGCATCCAGAGAGATGGGCAGGTCTGAGCAGGGATTTGCAGGAAGGTCAGAATTTGACTGACAGAGGCAAGGGCCTGTCAGACAGGGCATGAAGGAGCAGCACATCCCTGGAGAGCTGGGAGATGTGTCTGACTGGATAACATCGACATGCTGGCTGGGAGCAACCTATGGGGGCCTCAGATCTAGGCTCAGAGGATGATTTGTAAGAATCACAAGGTGTCGATGTGCACAGATGGCAGGAGGTAGGAAAGAGTCATCATGTGAAATGTGCCAAAGCTTTGGTTTGACATCAGATCTCCTGGAGTACCAGGAGAAGTGAGGAAGGGGAGTGGGTTAGAGAGAAAAGGACAGGGATCCAAATCTTTACCTCAGGGAAGCCTCATGGCTGAGAGGCAAGAGTAGGACGAAGTAGCTAAAGAAACAGAAGGAAAGGACAGGCTCGCTGGCACAGTCTGGACAAGGTTAGGACCTTTGTGGCTGAGCCAGCAGAGGTCAGCGAGGAGACTCTCTGTCTGCAAAGTCTAAAGGCTTTGTCTAAACGGCAAGCACGAGAGCTGCATGAATGGGATCCCCTGGTGCAGACACTTGGGCTGTAGGCTCTAGAGGCAACCTCTGAAGTCCTGGTGAGCAGCTCAGCTCCCTACCCCCACCCTTAGGACTCTCCTCAAATATGTGAAGCCTTGTAAAGGACCACGCTGCAGTCTGCCATCAGTTACTGGTCACTTAAGGACTCTTGCCACCTGGGAAAAGGCCCAGGTCTCTGAGGAATGGTGCCCCTCCTCCCCCCTTCCTCCTCTTCCCATTGGAAACAAGGAATCAGTTGGGGGTGGGGGATAGATGTTTGGGACCTAGCATGGGAACAGCACCTCTCTTCTATGGTTTGTAGTACAATTAAGAGGCAAGAGTATCACACCTGAAACAGACTGAGCAGGGGCCAGCCCTGGTCCAGCCATGGGATGAACAAGTAGAGCCAAGGACAGAACTGGGCTGGACACTTACCGAAGGCCGATGCTGACATTGGTTGAGCTGCCATTTTCCAGTCTCACAACAGGAGGAACAGTGAGGTCCATGGTTGACTCTGGTAGGACACAAATCAACGACATGAGTCATTAGGTCATAGAACTCAGGCCTCTGACTCATGACAACCCCTGCACTCTAGGTGAAGACCTGGAGGCTCTGAGAGATGAATGATGGGGCTGGAAACCCAGGCCTTTCCCCGACGCTGCCCAAGACAGAGACAGAGGAGAGCCCAGGATTGAATGGGAAAAGCTATAGTTTCCTCCTCCTCTTCCACTGACAGGCTCTGAGGCTCTGTGGCTGAGTACCCACAGACAGTTGGAATTCATGGGGCCCAAAAATTGTCCCAAAGGAATTCAAACCATGATGTGGGACTGGAAAATGCAGAGCTGAACCACCTCTTCTGATGAACACGAAGAAGTGGCCTAGTCTACCTTCCTTCCTCAAAGAGGTACGTGGAGCCCAGCTAACCTATTTCTAAGAGCCCTCTTTGGACTCCCTTCCCAATCCAGCTGAACCTACTCTCTGATCCCCTTCCTAAGGCTGCCTACATGCTGCACTGGGGAAAGAATGGTGAACAAGACATTCTTTTACTATCAGGAATTTCTTCTTGGCCTTAAGACATTAACTCACGATAAAGTAGACACATAGGCTCCCTGGGTGAGGGAAGAGGTAGATTTGGGAAATCAAGGACCACAGGACAACTAGGGCACAGAACGAGACTGCATTAGCCTCTCTCTGACCTTTTCTTTTGTTTGGGTAGCCCACATCCTGCCCCTTCCTGCTCACTTCCAGACGGGCACAAAGCTCCATCCCATACCTGTCATCTCACTTGCCCTGCCTCACAGCCTCAGGGCCTTTGCACAGCCCAGAAGTCATGCTTATGAATCTGGACTGGGATGGAGGAGACCCACAAGGGAGAAGCAGGTGTTCAACTCTGATAAAGATGGTTCTTGTAAGGGTAGAGGTTACATGGGGGGCCCAGACCTCTCCAAGGCAGAAGATAAAGAATTCAGAGTTAAAATTTCAGATCCTTGGGCTGGTAAGGAATTTAAGTTACCTGATTCAACTTCAATTATCTGTTCTCCTCCTCAATACCCCTAGCTAGTTTCTCTTCCTCTGCCTGTGTACCTCCAAGGGTGGTAAGTAACCTTATCTTCTCCAAGGGAACTGGTCACCTTTGAACCTGAAATCTGGGGCCCAGCTCTGCTACCTGGGGCTTTTCAGACCAGGTCTGAGCTGCCTTTGTTACACTAGCCCTGCACATGCACATGCAGATGAGGGAGCTGCACTCTGAGGTGTCTAGTCTCCAGGCTGAGATGTCCACAGGCTGCAGTCTCCAGTTCCCCGCCCTTGGCTTCTTCTGCCTGGTTGGGTCCCTCAGATGCGGACGGGCCCATTCTGGTCCTTGCAGAGGCCAAGGTGCTAAGGGCAGAGTAGGCTGGTCCTTCCTTTATGTGCAGGGTGGCGGCCTGGAGGCAGTTTTGGCAACTTGGCCTCTTCTTTCTTGTCCTCACTGCTCTGATACCAATCTGAGGTTTTGTCCCAGGCTTGTGCGGCTAGGCAATTATAGCACTTGATGTCTATGCCTGTTAAATTTTACCTAGTAGCTGAGGAACCACATCTGATAAACAAATTCCTGTCTCTGCAAGTTCCTGATAAGAGAGTGTCTAGGGCAGAGCTGCTCGTTAGAGGAGCTATCACTCTTCTGGGTCCTCCAGCTCTGCTGGGATGGGGTTAGGTGAGTGGGAGATCTATGTGGCCTTAGCTCTTCCGGTCTTTGCATTTGCCACACAGAAGACAGCAGCACTCGGTAGCACAGAGACTGGGCTCTGAAGTGACAAAGTTGCACCCTGGCCCTGACACTTCCCAGTTCTGTGAACATGGATAAGATATTTTAAGCCTCAGTATCCTCATCTGTAAAATGGGAAGAATCTTATAGAGTTATTGTGATGGTAAAATATGGTAATGTTGTAACACATTTTCCACAAGGCCTGGCATATAAGAAGTGGTAAATAATGGTTAGATACTATTATTACCACCATGGCATAACCGTAGGACATTTTTAGTCCAAGAAAGGAGGCAGTTAGGAAGCTGGCATCCTATCACAGGAAAGCACATGTTAAAGTTTGCTCTAGGGTGAGGGGTCTCTGTAGATCATATTGGAATTACCGAATGAATCATGAGACCAACCAAGTTCCCTCTAAAGAGAGTCTGCTTTTCTAAACTAATATTTTTTTTAAATTATTTTTTGACTAATACTTATCGACATGTCAGGAGCCTGGGTGATGCAAGTGATTTGCAATCAACTGCTAACTGAAGGCTGTTAGGTTGAACCCATGGCTCCAAGGAAGAAAGGCCTGGTGATCTGCTTCTCTAAAGATTACAGCCCAGAAAACCCTGTGGAGCAGTTCTGCTCTGTAACACAGGAGGTCACCGTGAGTCAGAATCAACTCAACACCAATGGTTGGTTGGTTTGGTTGTTTTTCGACACCTCTCCTACTTTGTACCCAGCTGCTCTGCTACACTCTTCCATCCTCTAATTACTACAACAGCGAGAGGTGGGTATTATCATTCCTATTTTGTTGTAAGGAAACTGAGAATCTCAAAAGGGAAAGTATTGTGGCCTCATAGTGCAGGAATGGCAGAGGCAGGATTCAAACCTAGGCCTGTCAAGTCCAAAGCCCAGGTTCTTACTGCTGGGCCATCAAAGAAGTCAGAAACAGAAAACTCTGAAGGCCAAGCCTCATCTGCCATCTTTAGTGATCACTCCCCAAAGCAAGGAGAAGACACAGCAGCATGGGGTTAGAAAAGCACTTCTAGTTATTTGCTTTTATGTTGCTTCCATTATTCTAACGACATTCAGGGAAGGAGGCAAAGTGATGGGATATGACGTGCTGGTCCTGGGTTTGCTACTTTCTAGCTCTGTGACTCTGGGCAAGTCTTCTACCTACCCCGGGCCTCCATTTCCCTTCATATGATCAGAGGTGGTGGTGGCTGGATTTGTGGCTCTCTTCGAGGGGAACAGAATTACTAATGCATTACCCTCTGCCACTGAGTCGATTCCTACTCATAGGGACCCTAAAGAACAGAATAGAACTGCTCCAAAGAGTTTCTAAGGCTGTAGATCTTAAGGAAGCAGACAGCCTCATGTTTCTCCCACAGAGTGGCTGGTGAGTTCGAACTGCCTTTTGGTTAACACCCCAATGCTTTAACCATTTCACCACCAGAGCTCCTTACTAGTCACAGAGAATATGTTCCAGGAGGCCTGGGGTGGGGTTCTGGTTCTACATTTTTTAAAAGGCATCTCCAGGTAAGTTGGGGAACAGACTGGATTGAGCGACACTGGGCTTCATGGTTGAAAGGACTTTTTCTTTCTCAGAGATTGCTTATTCAGAGGTGTGATTGCGAAGTGACATGCCTGTTTAACAAACCTGGCAGGATGGTCAACTGGCCACTGTTTACTTAAGAGTCAGAGGCCAGATAACTGTACTGCAGCCACTGTGTGTGGCTCTTGGGAAACTTCCACAGTATTAGTATTGTTGGCAGAAGGTTCACTGGAAAATCTTCAGTTAGGAATTTTAAGACATACTTGATTTTTGACAACAGCCAAGTTAATGATCAAAATAATGGGTCATGCGTCCCTGGAGAGCTGAACACAACTCTTCTTGGGAAGGGATTCTAGAGATGTTCTGTGCAGGGGAGAATTGCTAGAACAAGTGGTCTGCTTTGAAGGTCACATCCTAACAAGGATGAGCAAACCCAAATAAATTTTTTGACAACTGCCTGCCTTTTGTGCGGCCCCAGTCCTGCCTGGGCTGCTGCACCCTGCTCTAAGGGAAGGGTTTTCTCATCTTACAGTGGGATGCCCACGCTGATTTCCCAGGCTGTTTGTGCCTGGCGGGACCAGGCTCACCACGGCTGGCCACTTCACCTGCCTCTGCAACATCTTCCAAGACCCGCAACTCCCCCTGCGAGGTCCACAGGCCAGGGATATAAACCTTCTTTACAGACACTATCGCAGACTCTTGGGGCTCCACAGTCTGATTTCAGTAAAACTATTGACTTTGGTGATACAGAAAAGATAACAGGGACCCCAGGACAGAAGGTCATTTATTTGTGGAACCTTGTAAAGTGCCTCCTTGTAAAGTTCCTGGATCCTAGCCAGGGACAAGCAGGCACATGTGTTCTGGAGAGTTTTAAACACCTGGTTATAAACAGTCACACTAGAGCCACCATTTCCCTTTATACAAAGTTGATGACCCATTTCTAAACTTACCACATCTTTCTATAAGCTTCAGGGGTAATAGGAGAAACACAATCAGCCAACTCCTCATCATATTCCTCGATTTCAGAAAACTATGACAAAAAACAAATGGCAGGAGTTCAGGTGAAGGCTGAATCAGCTCAGCTCCAGGCAGACAAATATGCCAACTGCAACCATGGCATGGGACAGCTCATAAAGGACTTTCACTTCACTCACACCTGTGACTTCACGGGCTGCACATCACAACTTCAGAGCAGGGGACCCCAGGGAGGGTTTATCTGTCTTTGCTATCTGGGGAAATGGGCTCAGAGCAGTTAAGTGGGTTGTGTAAGGTCCCACTACGAGGAAGTGAACAAAAACCTGAATCTTTCCCTCTGCAACTGCTTCTTAATAACCTCATTAACTGAAAGAATGCAGTTTTATTGGCTGGTGTTCTTTTTGTCAAAAAGTTATTAAAACAGAGGTCAAACATTTGACACTGGGAACCCATAAACTTAACAATTTCCTATCTTGGGTTGAGAGTGTAAGGGCTAAGGTCACCAATTGACTAAATCATTCCATAAGTGTTACCTCCCCAGATAGGGATCACTCATGATCGGGACAGACAGAGGGACAAGTCCCACATCAGGCCTGGAACAGTGTATTGGTTTAGTGAGGGAGACAAGCTGCTATTTACCCATAATCCCAACACACAGCAGGTAAACCATGGGTCAGCTGGGGCAAGCCACCATGGATTTCTGTAACTTGGTCTCCATATGCTGCCTCTGTGTACAGTGTCCAGGCTCTCCCTCCCTTGACCACCTCTGGCAGTTCCTGAAAGCTGTGGGAAGAGCTGGGAGAGGTCTGTGTGGAAATATTTCTGCTCCTATTCTGGTTTCAGTTCCCCCAGTGGGCTTCCAGGAGGCCCTGACACCCCTCCTCCTCCTCAAAGGAGGTCTCCCTAATACTTCCCTCCTTCAGAAATCTCTAACTGCTCCAGCTTGTCTGACCTCCAATGTCCCCATCTCCTCCAGAGGCTTTCTGCTTCCTGGAGCTTGCACTGGCCAATTAGACCTCATCTCAGATTTCCCACTGATGTCTCCACTCTTTGGTTTTCTCTAGGTGCCATCCATGAAGCTCTAGACCTGTGCACTCTTTCTGTATCTTGACCCACAGAGAAGTGCTCTCTTGTGTATACAGAATGCCCATAGGCCTTTTTCTTCCTCTTGCCGCTCTCTGCTCACCTCAGCCCTGTACTCTCAAGTTCAGGATTCAGTTTATTTCCCAGGATGGCGACTATATTCCTGTGGGCAGATATGGAATCAGGTCTAACCAGCTCCTCTCTCATTATGCAGGAGAGGAATGTGGACATAGAAACTCTTGGTTAGCCAAAGTCCCCCAGCCCCAAAGTCTGAGACACCTTGGAGGAAACATGTCAGAGCAAACAGAAAGGTATTGAGAAATAAGTCAACTAGTATTTTTAAAAAGAGCAGAATAATTATACCCTATTAATTAGTTTCTCGTGAATGCTACAAGATAGAAATGTGTGCCTGTTCTCTGACTGTCTTCCAGGTCTCACTCACCTGCTTCAGAAAGTCCTCTCCCTCCCCCATCACTTATTCCTTCTTTGGAGCAGCCTGGGCCAGGGGTCTCCTGCAGCAACTTCTCTCTGAATTTGCCCTGTCCTTTCATCTATAGCCTGGGTCTCCTCCTCTTGGAGAGGTAACTGGCAAGGAATGTGTGCCCTGAAGAGAGACTGCACAAGTTGGAATTTTCGCTTCCCTGCTTATTAGCTGTATGACCTTGGGGTGATACTTGACCATCTCAAGCCTCAATTTCCTAATGTGAAAGCAGGGACAGTGGTAACTACCTCAGATAATGCATGCAAAGCATGCTTTCTCAACAGGGGTGAAAATTGTTTTTTGGGGAGTGAAAAAATCTTAGATGTTATAATGGCTTGTGGCCCTCCAAAGGGCCACAGTACATAAACAGTATACCAGTGGCATCAGCACTTTATAGTGGGAAAAGAAAAGTTGTGTCATGTGCCATGGAGTGGGACTCGACTCAGAGCGACCCCTCCTTGGGTTTCCAAGGCGGTATCACTACGGAAGTAGATTGCCCCATCTTCCTCCCCAGGAGTGGGTTTGGACTGTCAGCTTTCTGGTTAGCAGTCAAGTGCCTTAGGCACTATGCTACCAGAGCTCCTAAAAAGGCTCCTAGTGGGTGATAATGAAAAAAAAGGTTGCAAAACACTGAGGTAAAGAGATTACCGGTGTTGCCTAAGGCACCTAGCAAACACTGACTGTAGGTTGTCATACTCAATATTATTGAAAAAGATAGGGCCCAGGTGTCTTCCCTTCCTCCAGCCTGAAAGTCCAGGAGGGCGGAGCAGGGTGTCGTCCTGCCCAGTCTGCCGGAGCCCAGCACGGCGCTCACACCCCAATGAAGCTCTCAGTTTCTTCCCTTCCCAAAGCAATCTGCAAACTCTCCAGCCAGAATTGGAGCGGCAACCGAGCAGGAGGCAGGGAAAGGGTTCAAACTGCACAGGGGTAGAGTCACTCACTCACACCACCATTCCAGTGTCCCTTGCCTCTGCTCACCACTACCCGGACACTTTCACTTAGGGGCTGTCCAGTGTCACAAGGCCGAGAATGGAACCATCTCCTCCCATCCCTGGCAAGGGATGCATCCCTGAAAGGCTGGAACCGCGGTAGGCTGTCTCCCTGACTTGCTGTGCCAGTCTCTCGGCTTCACGGGGTTGGCTTGGAAAATGGGCGGGAGGATGTCCGGGCTGTGCCGGCTCTCACCTGAGAGCCTCCTAGGCTCGTGAGACTGACCACACCGGACGCAGAAGACTCCTGCCAGGTGTCGCTTCCGAATGCGCACAGTTTCCCTGGTCAGCTAGACTTTGTGTGAAGGCGGGCCGGAGGTCACCTGACTTGAGTCACCTGATCTGCGGAGTACATTTCTGGGCGTGATGTGTTCTGGGAGTTGTAGTTTTTACCAGTATTATCCAGACAAAGCTGGGCATAGTTGGGGGCGAAGCGAAGGGCTCAGGCGCCTTGTCAGGGATGGAGTCTCGGGTGCGAGAGAGGATGAGGCCACGTCTAGGGACACAGACGCTCTTACAGCGTCAGTGCCTTTTAGCGAACTCGGAGAACTACTACGGTGAGCGACGCACTGACAGCCTTCCACTGTCACGGAATCTCCGCTTAAGTTCCGCCTACCGCCGCCTCTCCGCCTATAGTCGGGGCCCGGGCCCGCCTGCTTTGACCAATGGCAAGATGAGAATTCGCCATATTGAGTGTGGCTGAAGCAGAGCCAGGAGACACAGCCTCCTTCCTCACCAATGACAGTGTTAGAAGTGGCCATGTTGAGTGTGGCTAAGGATTATCAGGAGAGGCCCCGCCTCCCTGCCTCTAGCGGGGGCTAAAAGCGTGGGTAGGGACCTACTCTGGCAGATAAGCGCAACGTCCAACACCATGGCAATGGATGCACAGTCGTTTACTCTCGGCATCGATCTGGGCACCACGTCCGTGAAGGCGGCCCTGCTGGAGGCCGCGCCAGGCGACCTCTCCGGGTTCGTGGTAGGGGCGAGCTGTGCCCGAGCTGCGCGAGCGGAGGCCACGGCTGAGATCGTAGCGGCCGGGACTCAGGTGAGGCAGCGCCCTGGAGCCGCGCCGCCTCCAGGAGCCTCCTGACATCTCCACCTTAGATGAGGCCTCCCTGACTGTCCCAGCCTCCCTGACAACTTCCTCCCTCCAAGAATTCGTCTGCTCCAGCCTTTCTGACCTCTGCCTGCCCCGTCTCTTCCAGGGACTTCTATGCCTGCTGCAGCTCTTCCAGAACCGTTAGATCTGTCCCAAGAGCTTTCCCACCCTCGCACCGATCTCCCTATTCTCTGGCCTCGTCTGGGTGCCTCGCTCATGGCGCTTTCGCCCTGCGCCTTCGTGACTTCCTGCACCCTGACCTACTGGGAATTGCTGTCCTGTTTATGTCTGTGTTCACAGGGCCTTTTTCTCACTCTGGACGGCTCTCTGCTGCTCACCTAGATTCTGCAACCTCAAGTTAGGGCTTCCGTTTGTTCCCCAGGACAGCGGCTGTTTTCCTCTGGGCATGATGCAGAGTCAGATTTAACCAGCTTCTTTCTCATTCCGCAGGAGTGAAATGTGAACTGAGAAACTCTTGGTCAGTTAAAGTCCCCCAGCCCCAAAGGCTCAGACACCTTGGAGGAAAGATGTCAGAACAAATAGAATGACATTGAGAGAAGTTGATTGATATGTTTAAAAAGATCAGATTAATAATTATACGCCACAACCAGTCTCTTGAGAGCTACAGGATAGAGATGGACAATTTCATGACAAATGGCTCTTTAGGAAGATGTAAGTTCAGAAGGGCTATTAGAGCTGGATTCCATTAATTCCTTATAAATGTAGCTTTATGTTCAGTTACTTGACAATAGAAAATAGTATCAAGGAACTTTCTGTATAACTTCTGGACTCAGTCCTTTAGGGTCCAGAGTCCATCTTGCTCAGAAGCATTTCAGAGGACAAAGATATCAGTAGCACTTTCATTTCCATAGAAGTTTTCAAAATTAGTGTGGGTGGGGGCATCAGGGTTTTAGAATGATCATTTTACTTCATGGAATATGAAATGGAGACAAAGTCTGCTCTAACCCTATTGGGGTGAGCAGCAGAGCTAAGATTACAGGAGAGTGAGCTTTTCTCTTGAATTAAGGTCACTGCTTGAAAAGGGCTTTTTCCCATTCTCCCCAGCTTTCAGTGGGCTGTTCTGTGTTTATAGGCACACCCAGTCACACCTGCCTTATGATGAGCATAGAGGAGGCTTGTAATAATCACCCTTGCGTCCTCCGTCTGTGAATTGTGCTCTGGAACAAGCAGCATTTCATCTGTAGCCGGTTTCTCAACCTCAGCGCTATTGACATTTGGAATGGGTAATTCTGTGTTGTGGGGGACAGTCTTGTGCATTGTAGGATGTGTAGCAGCATTCCTGGCCTCTATCCACTAGATGCCAGTAGCACTCCCACTCTTCTCAGTTGTGACAACCAAAAATGTCTCCATATTGCAAAACAGACCTTTTGGGTCTGTTCTTTCCTCATGTCCACATGTATCACTCCACGGAAGTATTGTGTACTATTTTGTTTTTTCTCCTGGGGCCTCAGTTTCCTCATCTGTGAAAAGGGGTGGGTGGTGTCAAACAGTTAAGTTCTCAACTACTAACCAAAAGGTTGACAGTTCAAACATCTCAGAAGACATCTCAGAAGACAGATCTGGCAATCAGAAGCAAATTTCGAGGTCATGCCCTTGAAAACACTATGGACAGTCCTACTCTGCACACACGGCGTCACCTTAAGTCGGAATTGACTCAATGGCAACTAACAACAACAAAGGGCATGGGAAGGGGTAGTGAATGCCTTCCTAAGCAGCTTTTTCAAACCAGAAGCTCCAGTATTTGCTCTGGATGTAGACTGACTGATACTCCAAACTATGAATGTCCAAGAGCTATTCTCTGATCATGCTTGCTCTTAAACTCTAACTAGTTGGTATACACTGCCTATTCTTTTGCACTGCTCTTTTGGCTGTTCTTTTCCTCCATTGTCTCACCCATACAACTCACCCTCCCTGGGCCTGTTTTAAACAGTGGCTTCTCTGTCCTGGGACGACACACCATATCACCACCATCCCGAACTCTTCAAACCAACACTATTCAATGGCAACGCAAGCCACACATGTCAGCCACATGTGGAAGTTTCCCCATTTTCTAGTGTTGTTTTGTTGTTAGGTGCCATTGAGTCAGCTCCTACTCATAGCCACCCTGTGTACAATAGAACAAAACACTGCATGGCTCTGTGCCACCCTCGCAATCCTTGCTATACCTCAGCCCATTGTTGCAGCCACAGTGTCAATCCATCTCATTGAGGGCCTTCCCCTGTTTATCTGACCCTCCACTTCACCAAGCATGATATCCTTCTCCAGGGAATGGTCTCTTACAACATGACCAAAGTAAGTGAGACCAAGTCTGGCCATTCTTGCTTCCAAGGAGCATTCCAGCTGCACAAGAAACAGGTGACATTGATTTTACATTATTAATCCAATGTATTCAACATATTATCATTTTAGCATGCAATTAACAATATAAAAATCATTAATGAGATAATACGCATTTTTTTAATACTAAATCTGGTGGGAGCTCTGGTGGCACTGTGCCTAAGGCATTTGACAGCTAACCAGAAGGCTGGTGGTTCAAACCCACCAGCCACTCCTCGGAAGGAGGGCTGGGCAATCTACTTCCATAGTGATACCTCCTCGGAAACCCAAAAAGGGGTTGCTATGAGTTGGATCCAACTTGATGGCAGTGGGTTCAAATCTGAAATCCAGTGTATATTTTATGCTTACGACACATCTCAATGCAGACTGGCTACTGACTGCCTCATGGGTAGTGCAAGTCTCTGCCTCATTTCTTCCCTTCAGGGAATTATGTCCAGCCCCCTGCCTCCTCTTTCTCAGTCTTTGCCTGCCTGGGCAGTTCTGCTGTAGGCTCTCCTATACATAATGACATCCTTGTTAACCTCTGGGGCCATCTCCTCAGGGAAGGGCTTAGCGCTCCCTCTCCACTCCCCCCTCTTCCTGCCCTTCTTTACCTCACTGTTCCTTTGTTCATGTTTATCATGAACCAAGAGCTGCCCTGATCAAGATTGGCAGCCTGACAGGTAGTTAAGAGGTTAGCTCCAAGGTGGGGAAGACTGTGTACTTGGAAGAAAGTGAGAGGCGTAAGAACTCAGTGTTCAGATGTCTTTCCAGGACAATAAGGTTTTTTCTTCCTCAAAGAACAGTCAGACATTGAGAACTGAGCCATAGTTCTCTTCTTCTTCTCTTCTGAACTTTCCATTGCTCCTCCTAGTTGTGAAATGTGAGTTTATCTTGTGCCTTAAGGTGACTTTTATGTGCCAGAAACCAAAGAAGTATTCAATTTATTAGATTCAGAACCCTAGTTGGGAGCTCTGGTAGCGTAGTGCCTAAAGCACTTAACTGCTGATCAGAAGGCTGGTGGTTCAAACCTACCAGCCACTCCTCAGAAGGAAGACAAGGCAACCAACTTCCATAGTGATACCACCTCGGGAACCCAAGGAGGGGTTGCTATGAGTTGGGTCCGACTCAATGGCACATAACAACAACAACCACCACCCTAGTTATTAATCTTTTAAAATTTAGCTTATAAAGCTGATTCCATTTGTAAGTCTGACATCATAGCCATCATTGTTGAGGGCCTTTGGATAAGTTTCCTATCTTATCTTTTGAGTTGCTGTTGTCATTTTGATACCACATAGATAGATCTTAAAAGAGCACAGTGCTCAAGGCAGACAGTCTTTACTAGTAAAACTAAACTGTTGTTTAGTTTTAAGAAGAGTTAAGGGGATATTTTTGGTTTAGTGTTTAGATGATCTCAGGGCAATAGTATCAGGGTTTCATCCAGCCTCCATGGCTCCAGAAAGTCTGGATGCCATGACAATTTGAAGTTCTGTTCTGCATTTTCCCCTGTTTGATCAAGATTCTTCTATAGAATTATTGATCAGAATATTCAGGAGTGATAGCTGGCCACATCCAGTTCTGATCTCCTGGCAAAGGAGGCAGTTGTTCATGGAGGCAATTAGCTACACATTCCATTTCCTCCTCCTATTCCTGACTCTCCTTATTCTTCTGTTGCTCCAGATGTATAGATACCAGTGTTTTGACTTTGAATGGCCACTTGCAAGTTTTTAAGATCCCAGACACTACACAAGGAGCTAGGAGGTAGAACACAAACACTAAATATATTATTAGGGCAATTAACTGGGATGTCTTCTCACAGAGTTTTCAATGGCTGATTTTTTTTTTTTTTTTTTTTTAAAGTAGATCATCAGGACTTTTCTTCGGTGCCACCTCTGAGAAGCCTTTCGGTTAGCAGTTGAACTCATTAACCATTTGCACTCCCCAGGGACTCCATGTAGCTTATATCATTGTCCAGTTAATCTACGGAAAACATGGCTCTGATGATAATACTCTCCCATTCAGAAAGCCTGAGGAGTTCCACATTACCTTCAGGAAGAACCCCTCCCCTGGGGCTCAGTGCCCACTGAGGGGAACCCAACCAATCCTCTTTTCCAGCCTTATCTCTCACCACCCTTCATACAGCCCAGCTCCCCTAGTACTGTTACCCCAGATGTTGCCTGGCCTTCCTCCTTGACAATCTCTCCTAGGTGATCTTTTGTTTCAAGGTCTAGGACCTGGCCCTTAAGGCACTCAGAAAGTGTTTGGCAAATGCATGAAAGAAAGCCCAGGTGGATGAAAGCATAGGGTTCATTCTATTAGCCTGTGAGGCCTCTTCTGACATCTCTCCTTTCAGTTCCTCCCTGCTGTGTTCCAGCCTTCTTCTGGCTCCATCACTCTAGGTGCCTGGTATAAGAACCTTACCTTACTTCCCCTTATAGCATGGCCATTCTTATGTATTCCTGTCCTTCCTGATACACTGTACGTTCCTGCAGTCTTTGTTGTTGTTATGTGCTGTTGAGTCATCTCCGACTCATAACGACCTTATGTACAACAGAACAAAACACTGCCTGGTCCTGTGCCAGCCTCACGATCCCTACTCAGTCTTTACTCACTGCACGCATACAAAACCCAAAGCAGTTTCCATTAAGTTGATTCTGACTCCTGGTGACCCCAGAATAGAACTGTGCTCCACAGGGTTTTCAGTGGCTGTGATCTTTCTCCCGAGGTGCTTCTGGGTGGATTTAAACTGCTAACTCTTTGGTTAGTAGCCAGCCACTTAACCATCTGTGCCACCCAGGACTCTACTCAGCTCAGACTCGCCCGTAATAGAGGACAGAGCCTGGGCTATTTGCAGTGGTGCCTCATCTGTGAAATGAGGAAAAGGGTCTGGCCTACCACATTCCTATTCCAGGCCCTGCTGGAGATTGTGGAGAAACCTCAGCCTGCATTCATCCCTGAGGCTGGTGAGCAGATCCTGGAAGCGACCCCTATGGAGTTAGCTGGGCAGTCCTTACCCAGGAGATCCCTTGAGGCCTCTGTCCTTCTCCCCTTGCCTGTTTGTTTGCCCCTTTCCCAGTGTGCTCTGTTCTGTTTCCAGGGGCGGGAGCAGGATGTGAGTCGAATCATCCAGGCCCTACATGAGTGCCTTGCTGCCCTTCCCCAGCAGCAGCTCCGGAACGTTAGGGCCATTGGAGTGTCTGGACAGATGCATGGAGTCATGTTTTGGAAGACAGGGCAAGGTATGTTGGACTCCGGAGATGATCTCATGCTGCCAACAATCACTGAACTACAAAAGTGCTGCAGAGATTCTTAGTGAAGGGCCACATCGTCCCCCATGGGGATGGTCTTTTGTCACAGGGAATGGAATGGCACATGCTGCCTCTTGTATACTGTGTGCATCCTGCTTTGTGCAAGTGTGTCGTGAATAAGGGAACTATCCACTCACTGATCATCAGCCCATTATCAATGAACAGGGAAAAGGAAAGATAGTTTTCTATGATTCTCCTGTAGGATTCCTTGGAGTGGCTTTCCACAGCTTCCTCTTTATTTGTGTTGCCCAGAGCATTAGTGCTGACCACCACAAGATAGCTGTAGTTGTAGGAGAGGCCAAGACACAGAGGGAGCCCTTCTTCTACATTTGGGTGTACTTTTGGTCGTTCAACGTAATCACCGATATTTGTGGTTTTTTTTCATTCCAGGTGTGTCCTTTTTATGGGCTCAGTTGCTAAACATTATTTAGTCTGTCTTTTTATGTCAGGTCTATGCACAGTACAGAGGTGGTGACCTTCTCTGTTGGGCCCTCAGAGGAGAACTAAGCTGGTAAAACATCACTGAGTGCTTCACATGCCCGGTGCTGGGTGAAGGATGTTACCTGCATGATCTCAATGAACTTTCCCAACAGCCTTTTGATGTAGGTTACAGGACTGTCCTTATTTTGCCAATGAGAAGTCAAGGTTCAGAATCATACACTCAGGGCAATATGGCAGCAAGTGGTGAGTCCAGGTTTTGCACCAGGTCTTTCTGACTTTGACACTGAGCCTCTTGGAGGATCAGAGTGACAGGAAGGCACAACAGCTCAGGGAAAGGAGGAACTACCAAGAAAACTGTCTAAAGAATGATTCAGTTCCCACAGGAGTGGTGAGCTCCCTGTTATGGCAGGTGTTCAAGTTCTTTTTAAGTATATATAAAAATATGTAGATACTAAAGCAGAGAGAATAGTATTACAGAGTGACACACACCCAGCGTCCAGTTTCAACAGTACCAACAGTTTACTGCAGGTGTTTTAGACAGAGGCTGGATGGCTACTTTGGGGGATGCAGTTAAAGGGATTTTGATGTTGGAGTCACCCCTTTCTGCCTGGAGAGTCAGCAGTGATGCTGAGTCCCCTGGGCTAATTCGAGTGGTGACTTGCCTTTCAGCAGTGTGACTAGTGTCTAGTGATGATCCATCCTTTGATCAGTCCTCAGGATGGGCTGGGGTCATTGTAGAAGCTGGCACCCCTCCCCTCTTGCCTTTTCTCTCATCTGGCTGTTGTCAGGCTGGCTGGGACCACAGGGACTGTTTGTCTCCAAGCCATAGCAAGAGGAGAAGGCCGATTAGGGTTACAGTAGACTTCGCAGAGGGAGTCTAGATTGTAAAAGCTTTTTACACTCCTTAATTTTGCATTAATGAGGATAAATGTCCTTTTAATACTAAAACCCTTCCTAAAGGGCTGGCATTGGTCTAATGATTGTGGTCTGGTTACATGCTTCCTTTCTCCCTGCCTTCTGGACATTCTGTCAACCACACAAACCATTGCCTGCATTGTTGGAGAAAGCTGCTTAATATTTCATTGAACTGAGCTACATGCCTTATTATTTTGTTTTCTGTTTCTGGGAAGAAGGAAAGCCACTGTTTGAGGATGATTATACTCGCTTGATGGAGTTGAGTGAAATCATGTCTGAGGATCAAGTTGTGCTGCTTTTAATGATAGCCTTAATTCAGTTTGGTTTGAGTACCTATGGCATATAAGGCTCTGTGCTGAGTCCTGTGGGAGCTATAGAAACAAGTGGGAAGAAGCTGCTACCTTCCAGGGTACACAGCTTAGTGGGAGAGATGGGCACCAGTAATTGCAGCATGGAGCTAAGTGCTTCAGTGGGAGCAGGAGGCAAGCAAGTTGGAGGAGAGCAGAGGGAGAGATCAGTGTCTTCTGAGAGGCTGTGGTCACACTTGTTCCCAAACTCCATTTTAGGGTCCATAATTGCAGGAGAAAATTTGAGATCATAAAACAAAGCTAGAAGGCAAGCATCAGATCGGGAGAAAATATTTGCTACATATGTAGCAGACAAAGGATGAATATCAGTACATAGAAAGAACTGAAACCAAAAAAAGCACAATGGCCCTGTGAAATAAAGGGCAAAGGATGCCAATAGGCACTTCCTGGAACAGGAAATACAAATGACTAATAAACATAGAAGATGCTCAATGCCATTAGTAATTAGGGAAATGCCGACAAGAACAACTATGAGAACTCATTTTCCACTCACTGGATTATAAAAAATCAAAAAGTTTGATGATGTCAAATGTTGGCAATGGGGTGGAGAATTGAGTCTCTTAAAATACTGCTACTGGTAATGTGAATTGGCATGGCCATTTTAGAATGCAGTTTGGCAAGACCTGTTAACACGAAGGTGGTGCTCTGACTCAGCAGTTCTGCTTGGAATCTGTTCTGGAGAAATTCATGTGCACAGGGCAGCAGCGTCGTGGTTGCTCATTGCATCTTTGTTTCTCGTAGTGAAAAAGGTGACATTTACTTGGAGGGAAATGGTTAGTTAGATAAATGCTGGGATGTCCATGCTATGGGGCCAGTGGTGGTTCAGTGGTAAGATTCTTGCCTTCCATGCAGGAGAACTGGGTTTGATTCTCAACCAATGCACATCGTGCACGGCTACCCCATCTGGCAGTGGAGGCTTTGTGTTAAGATGGTGATGGATAGGTTTCAGCAGAGCTTCCAGACTGAGACAAACTAGCCAATGAAAACCCCCTGGATCAAAGTGGTCTGATCCGTAACTGATCAAGGGGATGGTCCAGGACCAGGTAGTGTTTTAGTCCGTTGTGCTTGGGGTTGTGAGGAGTTAGAAGCTGACCAGATGGCAGCTAAAGACAACATGCTCATGCTATAGAATGATACGCAGTAGTTGAAAAGAATGCAGTAGACCCATGCATACTGATGTAAAAGAACTTCAGGACATACTGTTGAATGATGAAAACAACCTCTGGAACAATAAATCCAGTACATTACTATTTATTTAAAAAAAATAAACAACAAGAAAAATCAACTTGCTGTTCCATTTATTTGGAGCACGTGTCCCCTAGATATTGTTATGGCTCATCCCCTTATTCCACTCAGATCCTGCCTCACATGTCACCTCAGACAGGACTTCCTTGACCACCCCCACAACCTTTCTTTCTCTATCCCCTTACCCTGCTGTACAGTTCTTCTTAGCACCTAAATTACCTGGCATTATGTATTTGTTTGTTTATAGTATTATTTCCTGTCCTACAATATAAGCTTGAGTCAGGCAGTGACTTTTTCTTGTTCACTGCTAGCCGTCGGCCTAGAACCAGCGCCTAGAACATTCAATTATATATGTCATGCATGTATGAAAGGACCGGTATAGGTTTTATGGCCTAGAACAAAGGGATCAGGGTTAATCCCTGCTTTTCCTTAGTTCTTAATAAGCACATTTATAGGAAAATGTAAAGGCCTTGGCTCCCAAATCTTGATAGAATTGTATGTGGTGCTGTCAGCTACCACCTTGATGTTGTGGTTATTGTTAGGTGCCATTGAGTTAGTTCTGACTCATAGAGACCCTGTGTACAACAGAACACAACACTGCCCCGTACTGTGCTATGCTCGCAATTGTTGCTGTGTGTGAGCCCACTGATGCAGCCGTGTGTCAGCCCATCCATTGAGGACCTTCCTGTGTTTCACTGGCCCTCTGCTTTACCAAGCATGATGTTCTTCTCCAGGGACTGGTCCCTCCTGATAACATATCCGAAGTGCATGAGATGAAGTCTTGCCATCCTTGCTTCTAAAGGGCATTCTGGTCGCACTTATTCTAAGACAGAGGGGTTTGTTCTTCCAGCAGTCCATGATATATTCAATATTCTTCTCCCACACCATAATTCAAAGACATCATTTCTTCTCAGGTTTTCCTTATTCATTGTCCAGCTTTCTTATGCATGTAAGGTGATTGAAAATAGCAGGGTCTGAGTCAGGAACACCTTCATTCTAAAGGTGACATCTCTGCTTTTTAACACTCTAGTTTTTTGCAGCAGATTTGCCCAATGCACTATATCATTTGATTTCTGGACTGCTGCTTCCATGGGCATTGATTTTGGATCCAAGTAAAATGAAATCCTTGACATCTTCAATCTTTTCTCCATTTGTCATGATGTTCCTTATTGGTCTATTTGCGAGGATTTTTATTTCCTTTGTGTTGAAGTGCAATCC